GCTTAAAGAAGAGGGAAGCTCCCTTTATAAATTCCGTTGCTTTAAAGTAAAGAAGGAGCTTAAGAGGGTCCTACTTATTAAAAAAGACTAGATTATAAATAGTTCTATTTATATAAGCCTATAGCTCCTTTACTTACTTATCTTAATCTTAGGGCTTTATAAGAATCGTCTTATAGACTATAAGGATAGTAAAGGAGTTGTTTTTTTAATATTATTATAAAAGAGGGGGTAGAAAAGTTAGCTAAAAATTAGCTTTTTTAGTAAGAAAGGTAAAAGGATATAAGAAAGGTGCTTTTATAGTAGCCGGAAGGTATAGTAATTCTATTCCTCTTAAGCTTATTACTCTTATAAAGAGAGATATAAAAAGTATATATAAAATATATAAAGGTAAAAGTAAAAGTAAGAGGTTAGATAGGTAGGGTAGAGATATTTAATTCTTATAAGGGTAGTAATTATAATAAGAGAGTAATTATTATATTACCTTAATACTCTTTCTTTCTTTTATTTATCGCCCTTCTTTATACCTTTTTAGTATCTTAATTAATAAAGAAGATCTTACTTAAAGAAGCTATTAATATCCTTTTAACTACTAAGCTTTTTACTAGTTTTTTCTATCTTTTTTACTAATTACTAGTATATCTATCTTATCTCTCGCTACCTTTATAGAAAGCTATCGCTACTTTTACTTCCCCTCTTACCCTTACCTTCCTCTTTTTACCTCCTTTTAGCTCCTTCTTTAAAACCTATTTTTTAGCTTCCTAGGTCCCTTATACTATAGGATATCCCTAAGAACTACGAAATTAAGCTATACTTCGCAATAAAAGTTAGTTCGAATCTAGCTAAGGGTATAATTAATTATTAGTTAGACTAGTAAACTACGCTAACCTACTTATTAATTAGCTAATTAGCGCTTTTAAAAGCGCTTATAAATATACTAGTAGTCTAGCCCTACTATAAGTAAGCTAGCCTAGACCTTACTTACTTAGACCTAGTAACGAATTTATTAAGACCTCCCTTTAACCTTAGTCTAGGCCCCTTAACTAGGAAAATAAAAACCTAAGGCTAATACTAGTAACTTAATAAGTATAGCGTAAAGCTAGTATAATAACCTAACTACTAGCCTAGCTAAAGGCCGGTATTAATAAAATTAGCCCGCTAAGCCTTATAGTAGAAAACTAAAGTAAAGCTTAGGAAGATATCGTTATAAGATAAGGTTAAAGATAATTATATAATTAACTACTAACTAAAAAGCGCTCGTACTACTAATTAACGCTATATACCTTATATATATAAAGGAGTTACTTTCTAAGTTTACTTTATAGTAGGGCTAATATAATTCTAACTAACTATAATAATAGATAAGATAGCTAGTATAAAATTCCTATATATTATAACCGCGACCTAGTATAAGGGCGGACTAGCTATAAAAAGAGGGGAGGGTTTTCCTTAAAGTACTTTAGTTTCTCTTTTTTATTTAACGTCGAAGTTTTAAATACCTTTAGATAGGTTACTAGTATAATCTTAATAATAATAATAATATAATAAGAAGACCCCTTTATAGTCTTAAATAGATCTATATTTAGCTAAGCGACTATTAAATTTAGTAATAGTAAAGCTATTTACTTAGTTAGCTCTATTACTTTTAAAATACTAGTTAAAAGGATTACGTTTATATTATCTAGGCTTATACCTATTTCTTACTTTCTTTAGCTAATATAAACCGTCTTAGCGTTTACTTTAATAATATTATAAATATACTTAATTATACTAATTATTATACTAATTACTAAATAAGTATCTTTATTACCTAAGAATAAAAATACCCTTAGTTCTTTCTCTTAAAGGCTAAAGACTTAATTACTTTTCTTATAAAGACTAAGATTTATATACTTTACTAACAATTTAAATACTTAGTAGTCCTTAAGCTATATTACTTTTTAAAGTAAGCTAGCTATAGCGACGTTTTAATAGGAATATTAAAGAAAATCTTTAAGTTCTACTATTACTATTAAATATATTTATAAGCCTTAAGATGTTTTAAATTTACCTTTTAAGATAACTAAGAGTTTAAGTACGAAATTATTATTAATATAATATACCTAGGAAGCCTATAACGCCTTATTATATAAGCTATAAATATAGCTACTACCTTTTAAAGAGTAAGATTCCTACCTTTAATATTAGCTAAGGATATATAAGAGACCCTTTAGACTATTTAAATTAATATATACCTTAGACCCTTTAATACTATTTAATATAACGTAAGGACTAACTTTACTTTAATAGAGTTCTACTAAGAAGTAAAACTTATAGGGATTAAATACTCTTAAGTGCCTATTAAGATATATTAGTTTATTAGAAAAATTAAAAGATATTACGCCCTCCTTTAATACGTATATAATATTATAAATATAAAACTAAGTAATATTACCTTTATTAAAGTAGTATATTAAATAGCTATAAAAGCTATTAACGATATAGCTAAACTTAATAGGATTATTCGAACTTTACTTATCTTTAGCGCTTACTTTTATTTAACTATAAAATCGCCTCTTTTTACTTTTACCTTAAAAAGGTTAGCTAAAATATAGAAAGTAATAAAGACGCTCCGCTAACTCTTAGCGGAAAGATAAGTTAAAAATGCATTTTATATATATAATAAACCGTCTACCTCTAACGTTTTATCCCTCCTACTATAAAGTAAAGTTTATATTTAAAGAGAAAAAGATATTTAGTAAGGACCTTTTTAGATCACTTTAATTAATAAATATAACGTTACTATTAATATAGTTAATAGCCCTTAAGTCTTTTATTCTTTATATATATAGCTATACTTATATAATAACTCTTTAATCCCTTAAGTTTATACCCTTACCTAAGATAAAGAAGAAACCCCTAACTAACCTTACCCCTTAGCACCTTATAAGAGAGGACGCTTACTTAGATCTAAGAATAAGCTAAAGGATTTAATTATAATAACCGCTCCTTTAAGCTAAAGTTTCCTAACTTAAAAGGAATAAGATATATATACTTTATCTATTAAACTTAAGAATAAAGGTATTATTACTACTCCTAGTGCCCTATTTAAAAAATTTAATAATATTAAGATTACTAACCTTATAAAAAGAGATATATTTAGCTTTTAAAGATATAATCGAATAATTTATAGTAATTATTATATCTTTTACTCTTAAATAGTTTATATAGTTAAAGGTAAAGATATTAAACTATATAAGAAATTATAACTTATTATTAAAAGATATAGCGACTTTAAGAAGACTACCTTATTAATATAATCCCTAATAATTTAATATATTAGTTAAAGACTTATTTTAGCTATTACTCTTAAACCTTTTTAAGGTAATAGTATAACCCTTTCCTTTTACGATATTACTTAAGTATACTTATATAAGAAGGTATGAGCAATAAGCGTAGAATCGGGTAATCGATAACGTAAGCGGAAAGATCGGTCGAAGGAGTATAGGGTAGGATTTCGTCCGGAATTTATAACGAGCATATAAGGGGCTGAATAATATATTAAAAGAATAGCGTTGCAAAAGATGCTTGTAAACTTGCTTGTTCAATCTACTACTCCCAGGGAAATCCTTCGTCTTTTATAGACCATTGCTCGCCCACTAGTAGACCAATTAGTCAGCTTTCTAGCACATTCTATAGTGCTTAAAAAGCTCTATCTATAGTATATCTTCCTAACTTAGTAGGTGGTCTGATTGTGGCGTGATGGTTGACGTAAGACTATGGGTTCTGGCATGAGTAGTGGATTTGACTAGAATGTTCTATGCCCCACCTATTCTCGTATCGCGGATATCTTCGGAACCGCTAGGCCAAAATAGGCAATAGGGTATCCGTTCTGCTCGTAATTGACTTATGCATTTTATATATATTTTTGTTTGTAAGGATAGGCTTATCCTAACCTGCTTTTCCTAGAGGAAGGTATAGTTATCTAGTAGAGGTCTTTGTCTTTTAAGGGTTATTCCCTTAGACTGTATTATAGAGCCTCTTTTTACTAGCTTATTCTATAAAGCCTCCCTATGCCTGTTATTTCTTTATAACAGTAAAATAGGAATATAAGGGTATATTCTTATAACTTATAATCTATAAGGAACGGTGTTCCTACTATAAATAAAGCAGCTATAATATACTCTCCCGATTATATAAGCTAATAAGTAGTATATTAATTCTAGATAAAATCCTATCCTATAGAGCAAGAATCGCTCGTTATTCTATATATTATTATATATTAAACGGGTTGCCGGTTATCGTATAATTAGGAATCGAAGGAATAGAGCTAGCTTAGAATGCTAGCTAAGACCTCTTAAGAACACTAGCACGACCAACCTCCTTTAAACACGAATATTAGTAGAACTAAGAAACTTCTAGATTTACTCGAGGTATCACGGAATTCCCTAGTCTTAGGGCTATACGGCAGCTTAAATCTAGTCCTAAAGGGTTCTTCCGTTTAGCTATAATTATCTATATAAGATAGTATATCCGCTAGTAGATAGATAGAGAATAATTAACTTTAACACCTCTTCTATATACTAATATATTACTAATAAATTCTATTGAAAATCCTACCTTATACTCCCTCTTCCCCTCTATTACGTAGTCTTCGAAGTGATCGACGCCTCTGTATTCCTTGCCAAGGAAAATGGGCATAAAGGAACAGTAGACAATTCGCCTGCGAGCTCGCGATACTTGCCTCTCTGGTCTCCATGCGCCCCAAGGTCGGTCCCGGGTTTCGCCGGGTCTTGAAACTGATCGATGCTGGGTGTCGGGGCCGGCCGGGGCGCAACGACTCCGGCTCCGGAGCTCGGACACGCACGGCCCCCACACTTCGGTATAAGCAATCACTTCCTCGGGCAAGTTAAGAATCAAATGGCACGCCCATGCTTTCTTGGAATGCATCGCTGGACGTAACTTCACTGGCCATGGACACCTCATCTCCGCATCGTCATCGGGGCCGGCCGGCCCAGCCGGAAATGGTCCAGGCCGACACCCGTGCATCAACCAGCAACCGGCGCGAGCGGCATCAATCTTCGGACGCAGCCCGCAGAAGCAGTCCCCAGCCCGGTCACGATGACGGCTGGCAGCACGTCCGCCGGGCCGTGGCCGACATGAACGCGGCCCGGGACTGGACCGGCCCCGATGACCCGGACAACCCGCGAAACTTCCCCTTCTCGCAGCGCATCTTCAGCGCCATGGCCATCACGGGGCTCGCCACCGTCGCCACCGTCGCAGGTGCCATGTATGCGCCTGCCCAGGACGACGTGGCCGCCTTCTTCGCATGCAGCCACGAAGTCGCCGTCCTGCCGCTGTCGCTCTACAACCTCGGCCTCGCCTTTGGCCCCGTCGTCGGCGCGCCCCTTTCAGAGACGTACGGACGCAAAGCCGTGTCCACGGTCACGGCACCCATCTTCGCCGCCTTTATTCTCGGCGCCGGCTTCAGCAGCACCGTCGCCGGCCTCGCTGTCTGTCGCTTCTTCGCCGGCATGTTCTCCTCGTCGCTCATTAACAACGCGCCCGCCACCATCCTCGACTCTTCTGCCGGGCGCTATCGTGGTGTGACTCTCGCCGTTTACTACACGCTGCCCTCCTTTGGCGCCGCCTTGGGTCCTCTGATGGGCGGCTTCATCGTCCATGCCGGCGGCTGGCGCTGGACACAATGGGCCTCGGTCCTTCTCGCCGTCACTTTGTATGTGCCCGTGTGCTTCACCCGCGAGACGTACAAAAAGGTCATTTTGCGCCGCCGCGCCATTCGCCTGGGTCTCGACGCTTCATCCCAGCGTACATCCACTGGTCGTGCGTTCCGGTACTTTGCGACGACGCTGATCCAGCGGCCACTGCATATGCTCCTCACCGAACCCATTGTGACCCTTGTCAGCATCTACAACGGCTTCCTGTACGGTCTCTTGTATACCTTTGTCATTGCGGTCCCCTGGATCTTTCGTGAATATTATGGCTTCAACAAGACGAGCGAGGCCTTGTCCTTCCTTGGCCTCGTTGTCGGAACGCTCGCCGCGTCCACGCCCCTGATTCTCATCGACCTGCAATATTACCAGAAGCGGCTGACGCAGTGGCAGCAGTCTCATCCGCCCGGCGGGGAGGGCGTTGAGGAGCCGCTGCCATCCGAACACCGTCTCGTGGGCGCCATGGTTGGAAGTCTCATGCTGCCCGCCAGCCTCTTTCTCGTCGCCTGGACTGCGCAGTTCCGCGTCTACTGGATAGTCCCCATGGTCTTCCAGGGTTTCGTCATGCTGAGCTCCCTACTTGTCTACGCCAGCGCCAACTTGTTTATGCTCGACGCCTACGGGCCGCTGTACGGTGCTTCGGCGTCGAGTGCCATGATGCTTAGTCGCTATACTCTCAGCGCAGCTTTTCCTCTCTTCACCCTCCAGATGTACAGGGCGCTGGGGGTCGGTTGGGCGACGAGTCTGCTTGGCTTTGTGACCATTACCATGGCGCCCATTCCCTGGTGCTTCTGGGTCTATGGCGAGAGGCTCAGGCGGAGGAGCAGGTACGAGAGGAGTGCGTAGACCAAGAGTATTACACGTACGCTTCGCCGTTGGTGCGGGCTGCTTTGAAAATTGTGGCCTACGGTAGAGATGAAATTGATGACGACAAGGCAGGTAATGTCCACGAGACGGACTATGCCTGGCGCGTTGATCCCAGGGGCAAGTCGACGGAGTGTATATAGGCGGGAGGTATGTCGATATGGGGACAGAGCCGAACAACCGATCAAGGGCAAGACCGTGTTGAGAAACATGTCAAAATGGAAAGTCTTTGCTAATTGCAGGTCCCAGTTGGCTCTTGCGTCGCTCGCCTTGGTTAGATTGATCTTGATCGCATTATATTCCAGACTCCCGGTGTCCCAATCAACCCTGCATCATTCTTGAAGTCCCGCCTATTTCCATCTATCTCTATTCAAGGCAATTACTCCGAGAGACGCCAACAAAAATTATGGAAAGGAGCAGTTCGTACTCAGTCAGTCGCTGGAAGATCTACGGTACAGCCTCAGCTCGACATGCCAACGTCTTGCTTTGGGCAATACTCAGCCCCACGATCTCAAACAGACATCTTCATCGGGATGGACTTGTGCGGATTGTAGCCCTTGACGACGAGTTCTTCGGCTTTCCAGCCATCGATGCTGCCTGCCTTTTCGCGCGCGATTTCAAATTCGGGGAAGTTCCGCGGCTCGCGCTCCAGTTGCTCCTTGAGCGCATCGACATGGTCGAGATAGACGTGCGCATCGCCCATGACGTGCGTGAGGCTGCCCGGCACGAGATCGCAGACGTGCGCAAGCATGTGTGTCAGCAGCGCGTAGCTGGCTATGTTGAAGGGAACGCCGAGTCCCATGTCGCACGACCTTTGGTACAGCTGGCAGTGCAGATGGCCCTTGGGCTTCTTGTCTCCGCCGTCGCCATTCTCTGTTCCGGTCCGCGGATATGACACGTAGAACTGGGCAAACATATGGCAGGGCGGCAGGGCCATGCTCTTGAGGTCGCGGGGGTTCCAAGCGGAGAGGATGATGCGACGATCGTACGGTGTCGTTCGCAGCTTGTGGATAACGTCGGCGAGCTGATCGACACCCTTTCCCGTATAGTCGGCTTTGGAATCAACATAGTCGGCCCCAAAGTGTCGCCACTGGAAGCCGTATACGGGGCCCAGGTCACCGACTTGGCGGTGCGACAAGCCCACGCTATCAAGGAATTCGCGCGAGCCGTTGCCATCCCAAATCTTGACGCCAGCTTCGCTCAGTGCCAGCGACGACGTGTTGCCCTCGATGAACCATAGCAGCTCGGCGACGACGGCTTTGAGGAAGACGCGTTTCGTGGTCAGGAGCGGCAGAATCGGGGTTCCATTCTTGTTCAGCGAGAACTTTAACGGCCGCGGAGCAAAGATGGAGTAGGTTCCTGTGCCGGTGCTGCGATGGCATCAGCAGTCAATCTTGGAGGCTCGAAAGAGGGCTGCTTACCGGTCCGGTCGATGCTCGCCCTGGTCAAGGATCTCTCGCACAAGATCGAGGTACTGGTGTTCTTCATGCATCGTATTGCGTCTTTGACAGCTGTTGGGGGGCAGGTTGCGGCGCTGCTTCACGGAAAGGGTGGCAATGTGCTGGATGGGACCGGTTGAACTTCAGGGGGAAAGAGAGGGAAACAAGACGCGTCTGGCAGAGACGCGTTAAGTGCGTGCGGGAGCCCCACCATGCTTGTAGAGAGGGTGGTGAGGGGTTCTGGAGCTAGGACCAGGAGCCCCTGACCTACCCTATACCTCTCGACGCCCAACGCCATATCCACCGTCCGAGCTCGATTCTGAACCATTCTCTACTTAACCCACTGTCCGCAATTTTCTCTTTCTTCCAGGGTCACCCGAAGAATCCCTCCCTAGTACAGTTGAAGATGTCACCGGGCGGGCCCTTGTTGTTGCTTGGTTGGACCAAGCCTTTTTTGCCTCATGCATATGTCGGCCCATGGCAGGGGGGTTTATTAGCATTGCTTTTGCCCACTTGGGCCAAGAGTAGGACCAAGACACTCCCAGAAGAACAAACTGTGATTCCAGCCCTGTCACGTATATGTGGGCCCCACGGAGCAAACGCCGTATATCAGCCAGTGTCGTCATGGTGTGGATCAGGTCTTAACGCTGACAGGGCGCAAACACAAGTTGTATCGTCACCAATCGCATCGAACTGTCAAAAAGGGATTCCAACTACAAACGCTGTTCGTTCTGCCTTTCTCACCCCAGCCGCCCAATCTGAACCAGAGCCGCCGCCACCTTTCACGACAAGCCGGCATGACGGAATCCTGCAACGAACCTACTGGCCGTCTGGTCTCGCACTTCGCCGGCAGGTACGTGGAAACTCGCCCAGCCCAGTGGAATTCGCTCACCTTCGTATCCGCTCACCTTTGCAAGATCCCACGCAGGCCACACTCGGGGCTGGTCGGAGCTGTGGGAGTCCGATCAAAGTGGCTTTTGGGACCGCGGAAAGCCGTCTCCCGCACTCATTGACTTTGTTGAGTCGCGGCCCGAGGTGTTGCATCCGCCCCCAGAAGAGAGACGCTTGCGAGCGCTTGTCCCAGTATGCTGTTCCCTCCGGCCACACAGGCCCTGCCGCCTGTACTACGTGTACTGAATCAAACGGCAGGGCTGTGGCAAAGGCTATGACGTTGCCATGCTGGCGCTTCATGGATTTGACGTCTACGGCCTCGAAGTTTCCGAAAAGGGGGCTCAAGTGGCGAGGAGTTATGTGGCATCTGAGCTCGTCCAGCCTAATGAACTCAACTATGCCAACAGAGACGAATGGCTTTCTACACCGCGGGGTGCACCGGAGATAATTACGGGCGACTTCTTTAAGCGAGACTGGCAGTGGCAAGTTACTTGCACTGAGGACGGCGTCACCGGATTTGATCTCATTTACGATTACACTGTACGTCGGCTCTTCATACGCCATTTCTATCATGCAGCGAATAGAAACTCACCAACCAACCCAACAGTTTCTCTGCGCCATTCTCCCAGGGATGCGCAAGAACTGGGCTCGGCGCATGGGCGAGCTGCTGGCGCCTGGAGGCGTTCTGATATGTCTCGAGTTTCCTCTTTACAAGGACCTCAACGCCCCAGGGCCCCCCTGGGGGCTTCGTGGCGTGCATTGGAACCTCTTGGCTCAAGGAGAAGATGGTATTCTTGACGGACCTGTGGGCGAGGCCGGTCCTACCAATGGGCGCTTTGACAGGGTTCTTTACTTGAAACCTCCTCGATCTTACGAGAATGGAAAGGGGACAGATATGCTAAGTGTATGGGCCCTCAAGTCATGATAATGACTGGAGTCGCTCATGCCTTGTATAGACGCTTGCACACTTCCGACAGCCACTCCGAGGCCAAATGCTGTCTCAGAGTTCGATATTGTACAGCACGTTGCCATGCTTCTCCTTGAACAATGTCTCGTGCTGCGGGCCATTTGGCGACAATGTTCCAAACCGGCATCAATGGACCCAGAGTGGACAATGCAGTGGGCAACGTCAATGCCCATCCCGATGCGGCTTCAACAAACCCAAGCTAACAACGGATTGTGCGCTGTGATGCCATCACAGTGGCCATGACAAGTGGGGTGTCAGTATCGCCGGCTTGCGCCAAGATCAGCATGCGCTTCTAGCTCTTTGTCCTGAAGCACCCAATTCTGGCTTATTGACAAGCTCGTGTATTCATTTCTATTTGCCCTGGTTTTCCCGCGCTCGGATGGTACGAGTCTGTAAGCGACCGGCCTGCCTCACCTGCCGGAAGTCCGGCCTCGGCAGGCCGAAGCGCTGAGAATGCCAGCTTATGGTGTATCACAAGGTGCATCCGCGTACGCCCATGCCGACATGGCACGCGACGCCCTAAGCCAGGCACGCTTCAAGGCAGATACAACTCCGTCACGGGCATCACGCTTTTGACGTCGATGTTCTGAACCTGCCTGTGGGTGTGACACCCCATGTGGTGTCGTGAACGTCCATTTGGGACCTGTCAGCCTGCTGGCTGTGCTATTGCACCAACCTTCAGCACAAAATAGTATCGATATGATATCACAATCCGGCACGGAGGCAAGGATTGGACCTACAGCATGCTGGGCTTGGGCGCTGCGGCCGGCTGGCGCTGCGCAGTTCCCCAGCCGCCTTGCCCTCTCGTGCTTCAAGTGGTGGTAGAAGCTGGAACAAATGACAGCCTTGCCGCAGCTCGACGTTCTCGCCGGTTTGTGCGCATAAACTGTACCTAAACGTAATGATAGTGGCACAACTGCGCATAGGTAAAATCGGACTTAATGCCACCCTCTATGAACAGGGACTCGTGTCCTCCCCCGACTGTCACTACTGCAACCTAGGACACCCACAGACGCCGAGTTATATTCTGCTGCGCTGCCCTACCATTATGAAAGTGAGGAGAGGGAAACGATGTGGGAACGTGCCGGACGCGAAACTACAGAGTTTAAAGAGTTGGTCAACAACCCTGACATCAAATGGCCGGATACGCGGCCCTGATGATGCTAGAAACGGGCTCCGCCTAGCAACTCTAGTGGGTTGAGACGGAACAAGTAGTCGAGGACTACAAAGAACTACAGCTAGCTGCTGCGCAAGGCGAAGGCGCAAGTGCAAGCGGGAAAAGCGGGAATAGGGGAGCCCGCCCTAGCATTATCAAGGGCTCGCGATAATTAGGACGCGGGACCAAGCCACCGGGCTCCACGCGTAAGTGACACGTAGCATACATCAACATTTCCACAGCCCAGCAGGTCTATATGCCCTGCCCACAAACACGCTCCAATGCCACACCCCCTAGAACGCACAAGACGAGTCAACCAGGCGATTAGAAGAACCCCTAGACCGAACGCAGGCACTTAGGGGCAAATCAGACCAGAGATTCGGGACCAAATGTCCCCAGAGTAGGCCAGGAAGAGAGCTAAAAGAAAAGCCGCACGAGGAACCAAAGGAAGAGAAAGCTGGGAGTTGCGTCACACGAGGGAAAGAAAGCACTAAGCAGGACTCCAGGAGGAACGGGACCCCTGTATCTCCACACAACGTCTCGGGGGCTTTGCCCCTGGACGGCGCTACGCTGCGTGGCCCATTTCTGGGCCCCCAGAAAGGGTAATGAGACAACCAACCAGACAACCAACCAGACAACCAACCAGACAACAACTGGTATACTAGCCCCGCGGATTCCAGTTGGCCAACTGACCTTATTGCCACTGCACGCAGCGGGCCGTCACGTCCCGCAATCCAGAGAGGCGGCGCTTAATAGGCTGGTCCGTCCATCAAGACGCTCTAATATGTCCACCCGCCAGAAATCGCAGAAGAAACTCGACTCCGCGGCAAGTAAAGCCTTGCGTATGTCGATGGCCGCGACCTCAGGACATTCCGACCTTAGGTTTGCCGAGGAAGAGGTGAGTAAAGCCAGACAGTCTTCTTCCCAGCTCAGCGGCCATACAGACGAGGTGTCCCCGAGAGCCTTAACAAATATGTCATCTTTCATTTTGCCGGCCACGGCGAATCACATCCGCCGGGACCTTTAAGGAGCTCTTTGCTTACCAGCGATTGGCAAACGGTCGAACTTATCGGACTCAACCTAAGCCAAAAGCCCCCGTCGCTAGCATGCCTCTCGGCTTGCCCGATGAGCGAAAGTAGCGCGAACAATCTGCATAATAAAGCTATGCATTTTGATGACCGCTTGCCAGCTGGCAGGCTTTTAGCACGTAGACGCGCATACGAAGTACACTGCTAAAAGCTCCCTGAATAATATTTACTCCTCAACATGCTCGAATAGGCCTATGTATACGTGGACTCGTTGGCTATAGCATGATATTCGCCACGGCGGCCAAGTTGGTAACCGCAGCCATCCACTTGCCCACGTTGCGACGGACATTGACGCCCTCAGATCTCTCCGGCGCCGTCGGCACGGGGACTTTTGTCGTTTCCCCCGAAGCAGTCGTCTCCGTTGGCGCCCCGGCGACGGTCGAGGTCTCGGTGTGCCCTGCCGGGCCAGTCATTCCCGTGGGCGTCGTCATCATTGCCGAGGTCGTTGCTGCGGAACGCCGGCTGCCATAGCATCCGGCCAGGGCGATGGTGTCGTTGAGCCATATTGCGCCGTACGGCACCGCAGTCATTGCCGTGAACCATCGATTCGGGCAGTAGGTGGCAAACTCGACGGCTTCAGAACTCGACTCCGACCACCACGAAGAAGCGGCGCTGCCATACGAGGAGTACTCGGAGACGAGGACCGAAGGAACGGCCGCGGCGAAGGCGCACCACTTGGAGTGCGCGGGGAACTCGCACTCGGGGTTGCCCATTGCGTCCGTTAAGGTGGGCTTGCAGTCCTTCTTGAGATCCTCGCCATACGACACGAGAGCATCGAGAAGAAGGCCCGTTGGCTTTGGAGGCATAAAGTACTTCTGCAGAGGCTCTGTTGTGCAGGTCCATGGGTCTTTGGTGATGGCCGGCTTCGTAGTGGGCAGGATTGTGTCGAAGATGGCAGCCGTGACGACAGTGGCCTCGACAATGACGATGGCCGCTGCTGCCCTCATAATGGTTTGGACGTGGGCGTTGAGTCAAGTTGAGTCAAGTGTGAATCTGCGTCGACTGTCTGCGACACCAGGACAACACGGGAAGCAATCTGCTTTTGTATCTTTACAACTCCCTCGTCGCCTGCCCAACAAGAGTAGCATTGTAGCTAATTGTCGATTGAACGGAGTACTAACCGTAGTAACTCAGTAAATTGAGCTGACCTTATGAGGACCTGAGGAGATTTGCCCATGTGAGCAAAGCCACCAGTAGCAGAAAAATCCAGAGGTCAGGGGGGCAGCAAGGAGCGTTAGATCTCTCCTTAATACTGTACAGACTTAACGGGCGTGCAATCTATGAGGCTACATCGCCCCACAACCTTAAGGCCGGCTCGATTTACTGTTACTGAGTTACTACGGTAGATGTCCGTGGCAAGGATAAGGGAAGCGGAGTCGCGTGTTACAACCGAGTCGCATCCTTGTCCTCGGCCGGGGAATTCGCTACACAGAGTGACATGGCATAGCCTGCGTGCCTGAAGCAATAGACTAGGGATGCCGGTCGTGCTCCGTGCCGGCTCTGCGGGACTACCTATTACAGTACTAGTATATCCCTTCATCCAAAGAGGTGTGTTGCTTCATTGCGTAGTTTGGCTCGATAGCGAAGTGCCGGAATAAGAAGAATCAGTCCCATAAAGTGCGCCAGAGCCCTCGCAGGATGATGGCGCATACCAGAATAAGGCGGAGGGAGAAGTCTAAGAGAAAGGACAGGCATAGCAGGATTTGTATAAGCAGGGCCTCTCTTAGAGGCATATCCCTACAACGCGACTTAGACAGCTAATTTACTGTTTAAGATGTATTGCGGTAACCTTACTTCTCTAGCTAGGCATAGTCTCGAGCGTAGGTGCCGGGAATGTAGGACAGTTAGTCAGAGAAAAGTAAACTCCCACATCCAGCTGTCTCGCTCCTCCGGCATCGACTGGATCAAGTCATCTATAGCCTTCTTGGCCTCGTCCCTCTGGAAGGCATCTGGCCACCCGTGCTGCCGGTAAACCTGCCTGATGTACTGGACATCCAGATCCGTTCCCCAGTCTTGAGGCTGGGCGTAGACCTGTTCCTTGGTGATGTCCACGGCGACCTCGGGGACGTTGTCGGCCTCCAACGTCTTCTTTCCAAAGCACGGGATAAGCTTGAGGCTGCGGTACGCCGCTTTCAGCTCCTCAAAATACAGACCAACGTCATAGTTTAGGATGTTGTCGGAGCGAACAAGCTCCTCGACAACGCTGCCATCGGCCACCATCAACCACATGTAACGACCATACAATTGGCAGCCTTCGGCAAAGTAAAAGACGTCGGCGGCGTCGACCAAGTCGTTCTCGTCATCGCGAAATTCAAAGCAGTCCACCGCCTGGTCTCCTGCTGCACAGTCCTCGGTTGTCCAGGCAATGTAGTCTATCAGGTGCGACTTGTAATGCACGGCCGCCTCGTCGTCGCGTCTCTTTTCAAAGTAGGGCAGGTGGCGCAGCACTTGGACGGTGTAATCGGACTTGAAGCCCGCGCAATACTCCTTGGTCATGTGCGGCCAGCCCCCAGCGGGCGGCACTTTGAGGTTTGCCTCGTCAAAGTGCAGGGTGGTGAGGAACCGGTAGAAGTTCAGGAATACGGACCCGTATTTTTCTCGGGCGTGTAACGCGGCCTCCCCGGGGACGACGATGCGGTAGAGGTCGCGTCTTCGGAGACGGGGGGCGAGGCGGAGCACATGGTTGTGAATTTGTGAATGCTTGTTGAATTCTTGCTTGACGTCGGAGAAGTACCGTATTATCTCAGTAAATTGAGCCGGCTATAATAAGGGGCCCGATACTGTAGATGGCGTGCCCGCATGAGGAAGAGATTTGCAGAAATTGTCACCTAACAACGTGTGCAACAGACCCAACGTCTGTGGCTCCCGGGGACACCGAATGCACACACAGGAAGTCTATTTTCGGCTGGATTAGCAGGAAATCCCGATGGGCCCCGCACATCGTGTACATACATATATATATATAGAGTCACCCTGACGGATTCCCTCTTTCAGGCAGGAAGGACAGTTGGCCCGGCTCAGGATGGCGGGATGGGCCCGCGTGACATCGTGTTGGCCCTGTAACCAGCAGTAGCGTAGTTGAGGCTTATCAACGTTGTATAACCATGGCATTGCGTACGCCCGTTGCGACGACCGTTGCGACGACCCCTTCTTCCCTCCATCACCTCGGCATCATGTCTCTGATCGCGTTGCCAGTAGAGTTGATTTTACGAATTGCCTGGTTTCTACCCGAAGAACGCTGCATGAGCAGGTTGGCCAGAGCCTGCCGCCGCTTCCACCTCTGCATAACCCCCTTTCTCTATCGTCACAACAGGGAGTGCGGTGGAAACACAGCCTTGATGTGGGCGGTGAGAAACACGTGCCCGAGACGCTGGAGCGTGCCAACCAGGCCGGCACTATAGTCAAGGACCAGAACTTATCACTGCTCCATGGGGCGGCGAAGAGGGGCGATGAGCAGGTGGTCAAGACGCTCCTGGACGTCTGCCACTTTCACCCTGCTGAGCTGGACGAAGACAATATCACTCCGCTCAGGTACGCAGTCAGGTGTCCTCATTTCGGGGTTGTCAGACTTCTCCTGGACCACGGCGCGGACCCATCGCAGCGGTCCCGTCCGAGAATGACACCCCTTCACGCAGTAATTGCCTTGGACCAGGATGCCACCGAGATAGTCGCCCTGCTGCTTGCGTTCGGAGCCGACACTTCGGCCCAAGACCATTACGACCGAACACCGTTGCATCTTGCGGTCAGTCACCGCAAGGCAAACATTGTCGAGTTACTGCTGATCACGGGGCGGATCTGGAGCTCAGGGACAGCTTTGATACGACTGCGCTCGAGGAGGCCATCATAGTCACCAGCCACGCGGGCATAGCGAAGCTGCTCTTGTCAAGAGGAGCGCGTCTATTCCCGGAGCGCGAGTCTCCACGTAACCCGATATACGAAGTAGCCAAGTATGGCAACGTGGAACTTGCGAGGCTGCTTCTCGAGTATGGATGTGATCCCAACCATGCAAGCGATAGGGGAGACCCGCCGCTCCATGCGGCCTGCCGACAAGGACATTTTGACATGGTACAACTCCTCCTAGACTCTGGCGCCCAAATCAACGCCCAGTCCGCCAATTGCGAAAACACAGCTTTACACGAAGCACTCCGCTCCAGGCATTTACATCTGGTCGAGTGCCTGCTTCAGGCTGGTCCGGATCTTGCGATTGCGAACGAACATGGGGATCAGCCGCTCCATATAGCGTTGTCGCTAGGGAGACAGGACGTGATCGAGGCTCTGCTTGATGCCGGAGCAGACATTGCCGCGAGAGATGGCGAAGGAGATACATTCCTGGAGATTCTCGAGGGCTGGGGTCATGACGAGGTTGCCACCAAGCTCGCCGAGAGAGTGCCAGCCTAGCGTAATGGCTTATACATGTGATTTTAAGTACAGTACTCTCAATCTTTCCGGTGCTGCTAACGCACATGGATATCTACTCTACATGATTTGCTGAAGGGAGTCGTGTCGTGTACACGTATGCAATGCTACACGACCATGGCGTTGGCCTGTGCCTTTTTTGCCTCTTTCAGCCCTGGCCGAGCCTCGGCCTCGCAGCATGTAGTAGCTCAGATGGGGCCATGCATGAGGCAGAGTAAGATGTGAGCGTCGTTTATGCGAGTCGCGCTGAGCCTCCATCTCAAAGGGTAATATTTGCTTGCCCTCCCCTGACCGATGCCCTCTTCTCTTTGGTATCGTCGAAAGCATTCACAATGCAAGGGCTTCCTACTCCGACAAGAGGCGCTTTGGCGTAGTTCCACCACTGCGGACAGCCAGCTAACAACAGTGGTTTTACCTCGGACACACTTGTGAAGAGGATTCCGACTCGCGTATAACATCGACAGGCCTTGGCCTCATGACTGCCCCCTTTTCGTAAACCATGACTTTATACGTTGGGCTGTCATTTTTTCTGCCCACGAGTATTTCAACGACCAGCCATGAGACGGCTAACTACAGTCTCCTTTGTTTGGGCCGCCAGCCTCCATTTCGTCCGCGCCGCCATCAACATCGACGGCAGCCAGGCCGTTGACCCCGTAACTGAGCATGATCCCTCCCCCATCAGCGATCCCACCATCTACATCCCCGACCAGCATGACTGTCCCTTGGCCTGCGTCGACTATTCCAACATGCACAGCTGGACCCCTTTCCTCTCCGTCGACCGCCTGAATCGCTGCCGCGAGCCCATGCTTCTGCAGTTCTCCGTCACGCAGCCCCTGGGGGACCCGGACTCTACTATTTACATCCGGAGCTGTACACTTGGCGGGTCTGCCGACCTCTTCGCCATGGCGGCCCAGGCGGCCGAAGTGGACAATCCCAAAAAGGCCCAGAACCTGCTTCAAGGAGGAAGCTTCGACTTCGCCCCGGCCTGCGCCTCCATGGGCACGCAAGTTGATGGGAAGCTGGACGTCGCCACGAGCGGCCCCGGCGGCGAAGACGATGGCGGCGCGGCGGCTGATCTGCTGCAAGACATGACCAAGTTTTTCGCCGACAAGGACAACTGCAACGAACAGTTTCTGTTTGCCTACCACAACCACCTGGTGGCCGGCGTCTACATCGGAGCTGGGCTTGGCAAGCCTACAGCAAGCTCGGCCCTGGAGGCCCTGGCGGCGACTCTTAGACGCGACCGCCCCGGATCCCCTGGCGCCAATCACACCGTGGCCAAGCTCTGTGGCGGCAAACGTTCGCCGGAGCAGGTATTCGGAATCTCTTTGAATACTACAGGTGACCTTGGGGCAGTGCAGAGGACGGCCCTGAAATGGAGCCTGGGCGAGGGTGCCGCCAGCAACGGCCAGCTGAAGCCGTCGAGGCCCCTTTTCGGCGTCCAGGTCATGGAAATTGCCGGTGCCAACATGACGGCTAGCCGCAACAGCTCTTCCTCGGCGTCTTTGTCACTGAAATCGACGTCTTGGCCACTGACGTCGCGCATCCTCAGGCGAGCCGCGTCGCTAGGGAAGCGCGCCGTGTGCCGGCACATCAAGGTGGCCCCCGGCGACGGCTGCGCTGCCCTGGCCTCGCGGTGCGGCATCTCGGGCGACGACTTTTCGAAATACAACCCAGGCAAAGGATTCTGCGCGACACTACAGCCAGAGGACTCTGTTTGCTGCTCGCCTGGTGAGCGCTACACGCCTCCCAAGCCCCAGGCAAACGCCGACGGCAGCTGCTCGAGCCATCTCATTGCGAACGGGGATTCCTGCCCCAAGCTTGCCATGCAGCACGGCGTCTCGGTCGCCGACATCGAGAAGTGGAACAAGGGCAATACCTGGGCCTGGACCGAGTGCAGCCATATGCTCGTGGGCTACAGCATGTGTCTAAGCCCGGGACTGCCCCCGATGCCGCCACAGCAAGGAACCGAGTGCGGCCCACTGGTCCTGGGGACGAAACCGCCCAAGGAGACGGTGTCTCTCGCACATCTCAACCCGTACCCCCTGAAAGCTTGCTGCAGCAACTGGGGCTTTTGCGGCGTGTTTCCGGCTCAATGCGATGTCCATGCCCCCAAGGGCGGTGGGCCCGGAGCCAAGCTCAAGGGTTTCCAGAACACCTGTGTGTCCAACTGTGGAAACGAGATCAAGCAGAACTCGGGCCCGCCCAAAAAGTTCCAGCGGATTGGCTATTACGAGTCTTTTGGCCTTGAGCGCGAATGCTTGTTGTTACAAGCTAAGCATGCTAATACTGACGGCAGCAACACGCATATCCACTGGGCGTTTGCGTCCATTGACCCGGCAACGTTCAAACCAGTCGTCAGTCCCAAGGACCAGTGGGAAGAGTTCAAGACGCTGTCCAACGTGAAGCGCATTCTCTCTTTTGGCGGCTGGGCCTACTCAACCGAGCCTGCCACCTACCAGATCCTCCGATCCGCCATCATTGACAACCGCAACGTCTTTGCTAGTACCCTGGCCCAGTTTGCGGCGGATGAAGGCCTAGACGGAATTGACATTGACTGGGAATATCCGGGGGTGAGTCTCTTCCCAGTCCATGCCGCGCCGCTTACACCGACAAATTCCGATCAAAGGCACCAGACATATACGCCGGCAGCGAGCCTATTGGCAGGAAAGGCGACGGCATTGCCTATCTGAAGTTTCTGACTGTCCTCGAGAAGAAACTGGGCTCGGGGAAATCCGTCTCAATCGCAGCGCCGGCCTCCTTTTGGTACCTCAAGGCGTTTCCCATCGACCGGATTGCCGCCGTTATCGACTACATTGTTTTCATGACGTATGATTTACGTGGCCAATGGGACTATGGTAATGTCAATGCTTTCGATTCTTGCCCGCCTGGCAAATATATTCGAAGTCACGGTAGGAAGAGTCCGCGTTGCAGCTCATGTTGAAGTGGAGCTTGTTTACTGATGCACGTGTGGTCCGGTCAACTTGACCGAAACTCGCAATTCTCTGTCAGTCAGTATGTTGTCATGTCACTTCTCTCCGTGACATCCTTGTTAACATGTATTTTCAGTCACCAAAGCTGGCGTGCCTAACAACAAGGTCTTTGTCGGCGAGTCGAGCTATGGGAGGTCGTTCCGCATGGCCCAGGATGGCTGCTGGGGCCCATGTGCGACTTACCGGGTCCAGAACAGAGTCCAACGCGAATGCTGGAAGGTGTACCAAAACCAAGGGGTACATTTCAAATGCCGAGATCAACGAAATCATCAAGAAGAGCCAAGGTCGGACGTTGAATGACGGAGACTCAAACACCGACGTGCTGCTCTACCAAGGTTTGTCCGCTCCAGCCAGGGCAAGAGATGCCACCGACGTTAATGCTCGACGCCGCAGGAGACTATATCAGCTACATGACTCCGAAAACAAAGGATACACGACGTGAAGACTGGAAGGCGCTCAACTTTGCGGGCAGCATCGACTGGGCCGTCGACCTGCAGGAGTTCGCTTCCGACGACTTCAGCCCACCCAAAAGAAACGAGTCCGGAGAGGGCTGTGTCTGGGGAAAGGATCTCGGGCTCGACTCAGGGCACCTTTGTGAGTTTAGCTGCGGGTACGGATTCTGTCCCGAATCTCGATGCGTGTGCACCGAGACGGGCACGCCGCCGGACCTCCCGAGCGCGGATTCGACCGTTGAGGCGGCTGCTCTGGATTCGTTTGATGTCGATCTGAACCGCCTTTGCAAGTTTGCATGCAAGTACGGGTATTGCCCCGATGAAGTCTGCGAAACGACGTCGCCGGAACCCGCCGACTCGGTCGAGCCCAGCGAGGGAGACGGAGTCGTTCACGTTGGCGAGGGCCCAACTACTTCGACGTTGCTGCGGCTAGGTGGGCCAACAGCCGGGCGTGCTACCGCTATCAAGACTACACCAAGAACAAGGACGAACTGCAAAAGTGCAAACAGATATGCCAGAGTGTGCTGGACGAGGCAGAGGGGGACAGGACGCGCAACTACGGCTGCGTGGCCCGCTTCGACATCGACAAGCCCATCCCCTGGGAGATAGCTCCGTGGGGCAAGGACTTGGTTGTGCGTGGAGACTGCAATTGCAACAACTGGCTCGTCAACGAGTTTGCCAATGTCGTGCTGGACGCCATGCCCATCATTGCCCAGGTATTGACGACCCTTGGCTGATGACTTGACTGCCGTCTCTAGCGCGTGAGCTGACAACGGCCAGATCGGCTGCTACATACTCATGTCGGCTGTGCACCTGGTGCTCGATGTAGGCGCAAGCTTTATCCCTGGCGTCGGCAAAACACTTGACGCCGGCTTGGGTAAGTCTAGACTCGGGTCCATGCCAGGTCTCACCTCCCAGCACTGACAAGAGTCGATAGACATGGCGGCCACAGCGGCGCAAATGGCATCGTATATATATCCAAACGAGGAAGATCCCGAGGGCGCCTTCTCGTGGTGGTTGAGCCCCTGCGGCTCGACCACGCTGGTGCCCGACGACATCAAAAAGGTGTTTGGGATCCTGAACGGCGTGGCAGATGGCGTGTCCAGCTTCAAGAAGCCCAAGAACATCAAGAAGGGAGCGGCCAGAAGGGGGACGACGGCAACCCGAGGAGCCCCAAGACGCGCCGACCCAACACCGGCGGCAGTGGCCAGCCGCCGCCATCCAAGATTGCCAAGAAGAACCCCAAGTGCAAGATCAAGAAGGGCGTAGAGGTGACCAAGCGCGTCAACGGGCACACGCTGCAGCTGCTTCACTGCCCCAACGACCAGGCCAAGACGGTGACGGAGGAGCTGATTGTAACAACCGTCACGTACAAGAAAAACGCGGCGTTGATGCTCGTCACCAAGACGTGCCAGGGCAAGTGGGGCCAGGCCTGTTACCATTACAGCTCGGCCATCCGAGAGAACCTGGCGTGGACCGAGCTGCCGTGCCCGCAGGAGGCGGCAACCGTGTCGTGGCGTGTCGACGCGAAGGCGACGGCAGTCTGGGAGAAAACACGCCTCGGGCCGGGCTGGAAGAAGGCGGCCGAGGCCGACCGAAAGACGCAGCACTGCGACAAGGATGAGTGGCCGCCCGTCGGCCTCCTGGGCCTCGACCACCCGGCCCGCGTCAAGGCCGGCGTGGACGGCGAGGGCCAGCGCGTGCGGCTGCTGCCGGCGGGCGAGAACCGCGGCGCCGGCTCCATGTGGCGCGGAATCTGCCTCAACCGGGCCCTCGACAGCCTGACGGACAAGGATTTCCGCAAAGAGGGGAAAAGTCGTATACTCACAAGGTGGTCAATAAGGGCAAAACGCAGAAGATTGGCAGCGCGACCTCAGGCGTGCGGCCCAATTTTGCCATTTCTGCCTGGGAGCATGCGGGCACTGCCAAGGACGATGGCCTGTGGGACAATGGCTGCTGGCCCAAGGGCATCACATCCAATGACCCGGGCTACACCCTCCTCACGCTCGACAACTGGTATAAGAAGAACCCTCGAGGGCCCAACGGACGGGTCACGCAGTGGGACTACACAGCCAAGTTTGAGCTGGGCAGGAATGGAGGTTGAAGCTGTGGAAGATGCTCAGACAACCTGGAATAGACGACGGTTGATCCATCTTGGTTGACACTTTATATCTCGAAACTTAGTCCATGTCCGTGTAGGTTGAATCTACCACGTTCGGCATCCCGAAAGCCCTGATTCATCCTCAAGGTCCCCAGGTGCGACCTCCTGCGTCCTCGACAGCCCGTGACCGTGATGCCGTCCTGTCCTCTTAGGCCTCAAGCTCGACGCCTTCCAGCATACTCCAGGGTGCCACCTTGTCGGCTTCAAAGCCAGCCGTCCCGTCAAACCGACGGGCGGCACTCTTGACTCCGGCATACCACATGGCCGCGTCTCTGATCGAGTCCCAGTCGCCAGCCGACGTCCCCAAGGCCGCGCCGTCCTTGCCGGCGCGCAGCAAGGCTTACTTGACCCAACCGACAAAGTTCCACCCTTCAGTCTCTGGTCGGAGCGGCGTGTCTTGGAGTATGGACCGAAGCCGGCTCGGGCTGTTGACCTTGGCGAACAGGATGCGGACCAACAGCATCGACACGGGGTGCGCGGTCGTGTCCCGCTGCTCATACTCCCAAACCGAGCGAAGCACCGGCGGGGCGCCTGTTTCGAGGCGTCTAACGGTTCCTCCGCCTCCCGGAAATGAAACAGCAGACGATACTTATTATCAAGCATCTTGAAGCTCCAGCGGAGGTAAAGGAAATTCATCTTCGAGCTTCGGAACAGACAACACAAACACGAGCTTTAAGAAGACCGCAGGACTCACTCCCCTCCAGGGCAGGGGGAGATTCTCAATCCCTTCTTAAACAACGAAGATATACTGATGATGCTGTACTCCCTGTATTGGGGTTATAATATAATGTACTGCTGGGCTTATGGCAGGTCTGTTGTTCCCTTACCCCTGTAGCGCACTGCGTTTGCTGATTAGCTGAATGATTTCTCTCCATTGACCTGGCGGAATCTTCGCGAAATATTAAAAGGTGGGCATGAGACGAGCTCATAGCGAGACCAGCAGTGTCCAAACCAAAAAGCACGATTTTACCAAATCATTGACATCTCCAACAATCATGGAGAATTCTGATCAAGACAACCAGATCTCTGAAAATCTCAGCAGTCCGTCGGCCCCTGGAGTATGGCCTTTACCGGATGCGATGGCTTCTCTGAACCCGGGCGAGGGCGCGGCTCCAGGCTCTTGGGCCTCTGCCCCCGGGGAGGCTCAGGAGCCCTGGGAGACTCAGCAGCTTCCTGAGGGTTCCGAATGCGCAAGAACCACGAGGAGGGGAAACTACTCACTCTTGACTCGATAGTCGTGCAGAGTCTCCGTCTGAAGACCACATTTGATAAAGTCTTCAAAGGATACAGGGGAATCACGGCGTCATTGAAGAGCGTCGTCTTCAAGGCACCATTTCGCCGATTCTCATATCGTTGGGAACGCCTCACCAAGTTCCTCGAGCATCAGAGGCAGAAAGACCCCGAGTCTGCTGCATTCTTTCAGCTGCTATACGATCCGGTTGATGCAGAGCCCCGTGAGAGTGGCTACAAGTATATTGTCGAGGCATTCGTCAGTGGGCAGATGCGCGACAAAGGCGGGTTTGACGAAATTGTCGAGGGGAAAGGAGTCAGCATTGTCCTGTTGCTGGCCGGCAATCCTGGCACGGGGAAAGCGTTGACCGCAGAGGCCATAGCCGACAAAGTGAGGCGGCCTCTTTACATGCTGGGTGCGGGTGAGCTTGGCAAAGATGCCTACGATGTTGAGAACCGCCTGAAAACTGTTTTGAGGCTCGCTGAGGGGTGGAAGGCCATCCTGCTCTTTGACGAGTGTGATGTGTTTCTGCAGCAGCGCCAGACCAGTCAGCTGGGACACAACGAGATTGTCGCCTTGTTTCTTCGGTAAGTCTGATCTTCCCCTTCCCTCGGTCTAGTGTGACTCATCAGACTGACAATGCGCGCACTCGCAGCATGATTGAGCATTATCGCGGCATTCTCATCATGACGTCGAATCGCGCCAACACGATCGACCAAGGGTTCCACAGCAGGATTCACCCAACGCTGCACTATCCAGAACTGGATGCGAATGCAAATGAGCACATCTGGAGACGGCTTACGTCGCACTCGCAGCAAGGAAACGGCTTGACAGACGAGCTGTACCGGCGGCTCGCACAACTGCCTCTGAACGGGAGGCAGATCAAGAACGTGATCAAAGATTGCGACGCTGCTCGCTGTGCATGGAGAGACCCAGCTGGGTTTGCAGCAAGTCCGCACGGTAATAAAGGCAACAATGGGATTGGATGCTAAAGGCTTGTGATGAAGAGGATCTCGTATGTTATTCATTGCGGCCGATTTATTTCTCTGGTCTTGGAGGGCGCACAGCTACAAGCATGTAGGCCCGGAGGGACGATTGAGGTCTTCTGGCACGCTTGTATGATATACACCAGGTTGGGCAACTCTGAGACGAGCACGGACGAGCTCGGGACATGGAGTTCGAGAGTACAAAAAGGAGACGATCCTGCCTTTTCTCAAATGGTCTCTTCTTTGCAAGTTTCCTTGGGCTACGTTTTGTGCACACGGGCATTGGACAACGGCGATCTATAGCACTTGTCTTTATGGCGTGTCAATAGCTGCTGTATTCATCAAATTGTCTCGGACGAATCGTAACTTATCGGCAAAGTGAGACGCTGTTTCGCGACAAAACTCTAACATTCAAGTGTAGGTGTGCGTATGGTCCTCTTCTGTGAGAGACAAATTTCTTGAGTTGTCGGAATATCGAGCTTGGTCCCAAAAGACGGAGGGTTCAGCGGGCTTTAGACAGGCTTGTAAGAAAGTGGTTTCTTTGATAGTTAGCCCAGGTTCATGTACATGAGTGAGGACTAAAGATCGCAATGTACTCAGTATAATCTTGCATTGCGAGACTCCTACTGTAGAGAAATATACCACAATACCAACCAGTCATCTCTAACGGAGGTGCCTCCAATTTTGTTGGAGGATAATATGACTGGTTTAACACCTACAAGCAGGGACACATGCGCAATCCTGACGGTGCTGCAGGGGCACATGGGATTCTGTCTCACTCTTTAAACTTGTGCAAATACGCAGGTGTCAATGTCTCACGCTGCCACAATACGAACACAAAGGCCTTGATCGAGGTATTTTTATTATTTATTTTGTGAATGCAAGCAGCCAAAGTTTTAATGATGCTTGCCGGAGGTCCGACGCATCCATCGGGCAGACGCGAAGGTACGTACTGTGCCTTGATTTTTGAAGCGCGTTGATCCCTTTGGCAGTGGAGGGAGCCCCCAGGCCACACAGCCCACAGTACGTAGGTATTAGTTACGCTTGCTACTGGCTGCGATTCTAGGAATTCACCACGAAGCGATAAGTATCGACAAGGCTAGCAAGACTTCTTTTATAGCGGGCTTTACTAGGTAGTGAGCTCGAGTACCGCTTAAAGCACAGCATTCTCATTAGACAACTTCCCAGTCAGCGACCTGGGGCTCCCCCACTGTTAAAGGGATAATTACCTATAGGATCTAAGGAGCAGGTACTAGTAGGTAGTAGGTATTAGTAATTACAGTACCTACCGAGGCGATCCCGAGCCGCACTGGACCCTGCTCGAAGGCGAATGTATCTTGGCGTATCTCGCAGGCGCGCGGTCTGAAAAAAAAAGGGAAAAAACACGCTCCCCTCTGCACCTATCCTGTACTGTAAGAGAGGTTTGGTGTTTGGAAGAGGGGGTAGGGGGTAGGGGCGCGGGAGCATGTTTTCTTCAGACCTCATGGCAGGCTACATACAGGAGCACCAGGGTACCCGGCGAGACTTGACCCAGTTAAGACGGAGACAGTACGTAAGGTACAGATGCCTTACCAACTCCGTGCTTGGAGATACTTTGGCTTTTTCTTTCCTCAACCTCCCACCACCCATCTTCAAACCCCCCTCCCCCCCCCGGCCCCCGGTAGAGGCAGCGCGGCCTGCTCCGTCACTCATTCTGCCTTGTTAGACTCTCGGTTTCTTCTACATCTTACATACCCTTCGCCGAGCCTGAGTCTGCCACCTGGCGGCCGCCGTCGTCATGGCGCCTCTCGTCGACAGTGCCCAGATCGAGCATGCCGAGCTGCTGCGCCCGCTCCCTTTCCACTTCCATACCTACGTCTGGCCCTTCGTCATCGTCTGGCCCGTCTTCCTGCGCTACTACCTGACGCCCGACCTCTACGACGCCTACATTGGCGCCCCCGAGTGGACTTTTGTCTGGTGCGGCACCATCATCACCGTCCAGTCGCTCGTCTGGTTGAGCACGCATTGGAGCGTCGGCCTCGACGCGCGCTTCACGGCATCAAAGGCCAAGGATGTCCAGGATGCCCAGCTCATCAAGGTTCTTCCCATCGCAAACGCCGGTTCTGGGGAGATTAGCAAGCTGGTTCGCGACAAGGTAAGCGCTGCAAAAGCACTTATCTGGACATGAGCTGACCCCAGGACCAGGTTGGCGGCAAGACAAATCTATCCTTTCTCTTCCAGAAACGCCGATTCCTCTACAATCCCGATACCAAGTCTTTCAGTCCGCTCAAGTATGACCTCGACGCCGAACCGAAACCCGCCATCGGCCGCTTCCAGTCAAGCCGCGGCTTCGAAAAGCAATCGGAAATCACTCGTGTTGAGCAGCATTACGGCAGAAATACCTTTGATATCCCCGTTCCCACATTTACCGAGCTCTTCAAGGAGCATGCAGTCGCGCCTTTCTTCGTCTTCCAGATCTTCTGTGTCGGACTGTGGCTCCTCGACGAATACTGGTACTATTCGCTATTCACCCTCTTCATGCTGGTCGCCTTCGAGAGCACCGTCGTCTGGCAGCGTCAGCGCACCCTCAACGAGTTCCGCGGCATGAGCATCAAGCCCTACGATATTTGGGTTTTCCGTCTGGGCAAATGGACAGAGATCCAGACCGACGCCCTTCTCCCTGGCGATCTCGTGTCGGCCGGCCGAACCAGGGAGGATAGTGGCGTTGCTTGTGACATGCTGCTCGTCGAGGGCACTGCCATTGTCAACGAGGCCATGCTCTCGGGAGAGAGCACCCCTTTGCTCAAGGATTCCATACGGCTACGTCCGGCGGATGCTCCTCTCGATCCCGACGGATTGGACAAGAACGCCTTTCTCTGGGGTGGCACGAAGGTTCTCCAGGTAACCCATGGCAGCCCTGATCAGGAGAAGTCGACGCTTGCTTCTGGAGTTCCCCCACCCCCCGACAACGGCGCCATGGCAGTCGTCGTCAAGACGGGATTCGAAACCTCTCAGGGCAGTCTGGTCCGGACCATGATCTACTCCACCGAGCGTGTCTCCGCCAACAACTTCGAGGCTCTGCTCTTCATCCTGTTTCTCCTCATCTTTGCGCTCGCTGCTTCGTGGTACGTCTGGGACGAGGGTGTTCGCAAAAATCGCAAGCGCTCCAAACTCTTGCTGGATTGCATCTTGATCGTCACCAGCGTTGTTCCTCCCGAGTTGCCCATGGAGCTCAGCCTGGCCGTCAACACGAGTTTGGCAGCCCTCTCCAAGCTCGCCATCTTCTGTACTGAGCCCTTCCGTATTCCTTACGGTGGCCGCATCGATGTCGCATGTTTTGACAAGACCGGGACTCTTACCGGCGAGGACCTGGTCGTCGAGGGCATTGCCGGCTTGGGCCTCGCCAACTCCGATATCCCTGACAAGAAGGAGGCTGATGGCGCCCACTCCAACATGACGGCAGTAGTAAAAGCCGGCCTCGAGACCCAGCTCGTGCTCGCGACGGCACACGCACTGGTCAAGCTCGACGAGGGAGATATTGTTGGTGATCCAATGGAAAAGGCCACCCTTTCGTCGCTCGGGTGGACTCTTGGCCGCAACGACACACTTTCAAGCATCAACAAAGCGGGCAGTACGCAGGGCACCGTTCAGATCAAGCGTCGGTTTCAGTTCTCGTCTGCCCTCAAGCGCCAAAGCTCCGTGGCCACGGTTCATGGCTCCAACTCGGCGGCTGGCAAGAAAATAAAGGGTACCTTCGTCGGTGTCAAGGGCGCACCAGAGACCATCATGAAGATGCTGGTCCATGTGCCCGCCGACTACGAAGAGACGTACAAATACTTCACCCGCAAAGGATCCCGTGTTCTCGCCCTCGCTTACAAGCAGCTTACCGTGGACTCTGAGCTCGGCGCCGGCAAGATCAACGACCTGAAGCGTGAAAAGGTGGAATGCGACCTCACATTTGCTGGGTTCCTCGTCTTGCACTGCCCTTTGAAAGAAGACGCCAAGGAGGCTGTCCAGATGCTCAACGAAAGCAGCCATCGCGTGGTCATGATCACTGGAGACAATCCCCTCACGGCCGTCCACGTCGCCCGTGAGGTCGAGATTGTGGATCGCGAGGTTCTGATTCTGGATGCGCCCGAAGATAACGCTAGCGGGCAGAAGCTTGTTTGGAAGAGTGTCGATGATAAGGTCAGCATCTCGGTCGATCCATCCAAGCCTATTGACCCCGAAGTCCTCAAAACCAAGGACCTCTGCGTGACGGGATATGCCTTGGCCAAGTTCAAGGACCAGTCGGGTTGGAAATCCCTGTTGCGACACACATGGGTTTACGCTCGAGTCTCCCCAAAGCAAAAGGAGGAAATACTGCTTGGTCTCAAAGATATGGGCTACTACACTCTGATGGCTGGCGACGGCACCAACGATGTCGGAGCCCTCAAGCAGGCCCATATTGGCATTGCGCTGCTCAACGGCACCAAGGAAGACCTGTCCCGCATTGCCGAACACGCCCGCAACACCAGGATGAAGGAGATGTATCAGAAGCAATGCGACCTCATGAAGCGTTTCAACCAACCCGCCCCGCCTGTCCCTGTCATGATCGCTCATCTCTTCCCACCCGGCCCTAGCAACCCCAACTACGCAAAGGCCGTTGAGCGCGAGGCAAAGAGCAAGAACATGACGCCGGAGGAATACGCAAGGATTCAGGGTCATCCGACGGAGACGATTGTCTCTCCGAACGCCCAGAGCCTCGTCAACGCGAATGAACCCCGGAACGCCCGACAGGTCGAGGCGAGCAAGAAGGCCGCCAATTTCGCCGACAAGCTCGCCTCGGGCATGCTCGAGGCTGAGCTTGGCGACGATGAGCCGCCAACGCTGAAGCTGGGCGATGCTTCCGTCGCTGCACCGTTCACGTCCAAGCTCCGAGATGTCATTGCCGTCCCCAACATTATTCGCCAGGGTCGCTGCACGCTCGTGGCTACGATCCAGATGTACAAGATTCTCGCCCTGAACTGCCTCATCAGTGCCTACTCGCTGTCTGTCCTGTATCTCGAGGGCATTAAGTTTGGCGACACCCAGTACACCATCAGCGGCATGCTCATGTCGGTTTGCTTCTTAAGCATCTCTCGAGCTCGCGTGGTTGAGGGCCTCAGCAAAGAACGCCCTCAGCCCAACATTTTCAACACATATATCATTGGCTCTATCCTGGGGCAGTTCGCCATTCACATTGCCACCCTTATCTATATTGCCCGACTCTGCGACAAGATTGCCCCGTGGGTTTTCCCGCTGATACGAATTGGTTCGATGCCGACTAACCTGCTATAGGCGCTCTACCGATGGCCTGGACCTCGAGGCTGAATTCGAGCCGTCCCTGCTCAACTCGGCCGTCTATCTCCTTCAGCTCATCCAGCAGATCTCAACCTTTGCCATCAACTACCAGGGCCGGCCATTCCGCGAGTCCCTCTCGGAGAACAGGGCCATGTATTACGGAATCGTCGGCGTCTCCGGTCTCGCCTTTGTCTGCGCTCTGGAACTGGTGCCCGAGATCAACCAGGGCATGAAGCTCGTGCCCTTTACCGAGGAGTTCAAGATGAAGATGGCGGCCTGCATGGTCATCGACTACGTCCTGTGCTTCATCATTGAAAAGGGCCTCAAGATGGGCTTTAGTGACTACCGCCCGCGCGACATTGCCGACCGTCGGCCGGAGCAGCTCGAGAGAGAAGCTGCGCGCAAGGCGGTCATTGAGCAGAAGAAGGCCGAGGAGGAGGAGGCGAAGCGCCTGGAAAAGGTGGCTGCGTTTGAGCGCCAGGTCGAGGATCGCAAGAGGAAGCTGCGAGAGTGGAGAGGCGGTCAGCAGCGGACACAGTAGAGATGCTGTGTGTATGCGCGCGCGCGTGTGTGTGTATGTGGAAAGAGGAACGAGCGGCCCAAGTCCAGCCTCGCGCTCGGGCTGGAGCCCCTGGTAGGGCGTTGCCCTCGAACTCTCACCTCACGGTGCGGGCGAGGCAGGCTGCTGTATCCGGCCTTGAGATTCTCTATCTTGGGTGATTTTTCTCGATCACTATTGCAAGGGACTCCTCCCGGGAGGTGGAGAGCAGGGGGATAGAACATAGACGATATGGGTCGATTTGCCGGGGGTATCTTGGCGGACTGTAAAATCACGGCAGAGTCCAATAGAGTCTTTCCTTCTGTCACGATTATAGGGGGGATGGCATGGAATCGCCGGACGCGACTACTTTTCCCACACTGTCACATGTAGGCTCTCCAGCAAGGGAATTCAAGACCATGACGAGACAGGACCAAAGAGGCTTGACGCGAACTTTTTGATCTGCTATAATACACGAGACTCAACAAGAGTCGAGAACGACTATTGAACAGCAGGGTAGATTGCGTTCCGCCTATGCCAATTCCTCACGAGGCCCGACCAATGCTGCCCGGCGGCAGCACATCAGTCAGACTCACCTCCTCATTACCGTCCTCGCTTCGTTTAAAGCCTCTTCACGGTGCGCTCCCAGCTGGCTGTGAGGTCGGAGTGGGCTGAAGCGGCGGAAGACGTGCTGTTTTGGGAGCGGTGCGACACTTATTTGCCGGGGTTCTGGGCGACAAAGGCAACGCCCTTTTCAATGTTCTTCTTGAGGTCGCTCAGGCAGGCCTCGAGGAGCTTCTCCTCGGCGGCGTCGAGCTTGCCAAGGGGCAGGATCTTCTCGACGCCGTTGGGGCCGAGCTCGACCTTGCTGCTGAAGAAGTCGATGCCCTGGTCCTTGTACAGGGGCGAGTCGACAAAAGTGGGCTCGACGACACCCTTCTCGCCCTGGGCGGCCCGGAGCAGGGACTCGGCCATGCGGGCGCCGGCCATGGCCATGGACAGGGTGGCGGAGCCGGCGCCGTCCTTGGCCTTGACGACCTCGTCGCCGCCAAACTGGACGCGCTTGACGAGCTCGGCGTTGGAGCTCAGGTCGGGGTGCTTGCTTTGGCTGAAGAGAGGGACGATGGTGACGCCCGAGTGACCGCCGACGACGGTGATATTCTCGTCTTTGGGGTCGGTGCCCTTGATCTCGGAAACAAAGCGGCTGGCGCGGACGACGTCAAGGGTGGTGACGCCGAAGAGCGTCTTGGGGTTGTAGACGCCCTTGGACTTGAAGACCTCTGCGCAGATGGGGACGGTCGAGTTGACGGGGTTAGAGATGATGAGCACCTTGGCCTTGGGGGCGGACTCGGCAACGGCCTTGGCGAGATCGCGGACGATGGAGGCGTTTGTGTTGAAGAGGTCGTCACGCGTCATGCCGGGCTTGCGGGGCACACCGGCGGGGATAAGGACCACCTCGGAGCCCTTGAGGCAGTCGGCGAGGCCACTAGGGGTAGCGTCGTAGCCCTTAACCGTGGACTTTGTGTTGATGTGGGCGACATCGGCGGCAACGCCTGGTAGACGAGGTGGTCAGCTGAGGATCTATTCGGGCTTGCGAGAGGAGCTTGAGGCGAGCAAAAGGGGCGGATGGGTGCTCGGTGGCAACGTACCGGGAGCAAGACGGATATCGTAGAGGGCTAGGTCGGTGACTCTGGGGTTCATCTTGAGCAGCAGGGAGAGGGGCTGGCCAATGCCGCCAGCGGCACCGAGGACGGCGACTTTGGAGAGCTGCAAGCGACGAGATGTCAGTCAGCAAAGCACATCGGAGGGAGCTATGGTCAGGCTTCCCCGGCCGTGTTGGGTGCTGAGACGGTTGAGAAGGGGGACCCACGTTGCGCGCGGAGGCGGAAAAGGCCCGGCGCTGGATCTTGGCAGCGAACATGATGGAGGACGATGTATGAATACGAGGGTATCGTAGGGAAATGAAAAGGCGGAGAGCAGCAATTGGGAGGCAGACGTGGTCTGGTGTGGTGAGGACGGCGATGGGGCAGACGGAGAGGAAAGGAAGAAAAAAGATGGATCGGAAGCTTGCTTGGCTCGATCGGGTATAGCTCGGCGAATCCCGGCGAAGGCGCCGGCACAGTGTTAGGCAGTGTTAGGAGATAGAGTGCGAGGCTTAATACGGACGCCGATTATTAGAGGCGGTACGACTGATAACAGAAGGGGGAGGGTGCTCTTTTACTAGCCTGAAAGTTACTGCTCTTGAGTTGATGTTGAGGACGAGGCGTTGACGAGTTTAAGTTTATTCGCCAATACCAATTGACATGCCTGTAATTACAGCATCTTCAGGTCGGAACAAGACGTAGCAAAAGCGGGCCTCGGCTGGCAGAGGGCACACGGACAGGCACCAACACAGGGCGTCACGCATTGAGGCGCCACTGTTGACTTGTAGGTTCATCTCAGCAAGCAGGGTTGGGGCTTGCTGTACATAATCGAGAGAGGCCAGTAATTAGTGATGAGGAAACGGAGCTCAACCATGGTTAGTGCTAATAACACTGTCTCCGGACTGCAGAGTCTCACGACGCCGCCCAGACTCAATGGACATGGGCATGAACTGCTGCACTTGGATCGGCATCGGCTATTCGTTCTTGACCGCCTGCACGATTGGTATTAGATGCATCATCGGCGTTAGGCTCGATTCAAGGCACAGGGAGAGTCCGAGGGCGTTTGATGAGCTTCACGAGCTCGGCCGCCTCCTCGCCGTCTGACTCACCCAGCTCGAAGTACCGAGCTATCTCGCCTTGGTGCTGGGTGGCGCCTAGCAATGCTAAGATAGTACTTTTCTCAGGCTAAGCGGCGGATATGTACCTCCTCCACGAGTACCTTTTCAGCGACGACGCATCTGCCAAACGCTCCCATCCGTCGTCATCAGCATCGCTGCTCAGCACTCCCGACGCGCCATGTCCCGTGCGCAGCTCTCCCAGCTGCTGCCCCTACCTGAAGAAGAACTTCAGCAGGTGCTCGACTACGCCGCAAGCCTGTCCAAGCCCGAGGCCGCCACCCACTTCCACGACTTGCTCGGCGATTCACCCCTCGCCGTCGACTTCATCTCGTCGTTCAACTCGCATAGAAGAGCACCAGCGGCACCGACATCATCGGCGACGGCTGGCGACTCGGGTTCGGCATCGGAGCCCCCTAGATCCGCGCCGAAAGCCAAGCGAGAGACAAAGAAGAAAAAGGGCTCGGCCATACACACCCCGGCGGCTAGGAAGCTACCAGAGTATCAAGGGCCGGCGACCACGGCATACAAGAAGAATCAGGACATCGAATACATTCCCAAGCGAGATAGCGCGCCCGGCAGCAGCAATGCCTCTCGAGCAGCCACGCCGTCAGTACAGACTCCTGTCCAGCCGCCCCCCAAGCAGCATGCATCGGCTGCCGGGTACCTGATATCAGACGGCCTCGCCAAGGCCAAGGCAAAGTCAAACCCGCCCTCCCGGAGCTCGACTCCGAAACCATCCGGGGGCACCAGCGCCAAGGTGGCCATTCCGGGTGGCATGCCTATGGCCGGTCAGTCTACGGCACTCTCTGATCTAGACGCCGCGATCCGAGCGCTTGAAATCACGACGAACCCTACCATGGACAACGGCAAGAGGCGGAAATGCAATTGCGTCGCTACCAGACATCCCTTGCAAAGCGCCGCGCCAAATTGCCTCTCCTGCGGCAAGGTCATTTGCATCAAGGAGGGCCTAGGCCAATGCACCTTTTGCGGGTCACCGCTTTTGAACGCCGACGAGGCCCAAGCCATGTTGCGGGAGCTCAAAGACGAGCGCGGGCGAGAGCGCATGACGGTCAACGCTGCAGTTCACCGCAAAGCAGACGTGTCCAAGACGCCCGCGCCCTTTACGCAGCCCCGCAACGCAGACGCTGGCGACGGCGGCCCGTCTCTGGCCGAGGCGGCGGCCAAGGCCCGGGCGCATCGCGACAAGCTCCTCGACTTCCAGGCGCAAAACGCCCGGCGAACCACGGTGCGGGACGAGGCGGCCGACTTTGACGTCAGCGGAGCCATGACGGGCACAGGCAACATGTGGGCTAGCCCGGAGGACAGGGCGAGGGAGCTGAAGCGGCAGCAGAAGCTTATGCGGGAGATGGAGTGGAACGCGCAGCCTGACTATGAGAAGCGACGGCAAGTGATTAGCATCGACCTCGTGGGTGGCAAAGTTGTGCGCAAAATGGCGGCCGTGACGCGGCCGGCGAGTTCTGACGAGGAGGACGAGGCCGGGCCGGCGCCAGAGGCCCTGAGCAAAAGGAGCGGGAACGCAAGCGGCACCGGGGGGGCCTTTAGTCGCAATCCTTTGCTGGGCGCCCTGATGAGGCCGGTGTTTGAGCCCAAGGGGGAGGACAAAGACACACCGGAGCCCCGGGGGCAAAGAGAACGGAAGAAGGGGTGGAGGAGAGTGCAGGACGACGTGGAAGATAACGAGGCAGTCATACTCGACGGCGGAGCGTACGGCCATAGCGGACCGGGCGGCGGCGGAGGAAGGGCAGGAGATGAGCCATGGTGCGGGTAAGGCCGGCAGCTGTGCGGAGCAGTCTGAAGATGGGGGAGATGTGGTGCTCGCTCTGTTGCCAGTATGGACACGAGGCAGAGCTGGCGCGAGTACGAATCACCGTCTTTGAGCGTCATCTCCGAGACCCGCACTGAACAGGGCAAGCCGAGGTGTCATCGGTGAGAAAAGCGGGGTGACGGGCAAGGAACCAATACCATTAGCTAATCTGTACTGGCCGAGGGTGTGGTGCCGGCCACGTGACTTCGTGTCGCGGGTAGTGGCGTGCGCGACAGGCTCCACAGACCCTCCCGGACCTTCCAAACAGACCGTTGGGGAGGGCCGAGGGGCCACGCGACAAATGGTCACAGGGCGCCTTTCATGCGGCTGCGGCACATGGGCGCAAAGTAGTTTTTATTTATTAATTGCTTCTTGCCTTGTTTTCTTGGTCAAGGATCGATTAGGGGAACTTCTAGAGTCTATGACAAGGAAAAGAAGAAGGAAACGAGGTTGCGCGTCACTCGCGCCTTTGCCTCGGCCATCCCAGCGACAGGCACAGAATGAAAGATGCAAATTGTTTCATCCCTACTCCGTACAGTACTTACAGACATGCCAGTGGACTCAACGCGATGGAACCTGCGTACGGCCAACTTGGCACACGGCGAATGCGACGCAACCTGGCGGCGCCCTCTGCGCGATGAACTGTAGGAGACTTTACTTTTCCCTCCTCTGGGCCGGGCCGCGTATGTGCGCACGCCACCGTCGTAGAGGCTTGCAAAGCATGCTCGGTACGGAATAGCCAGTGGCATTTGGACAAGCTGGCCAGTGGCAGAAAGCAATCCCAACTTCTGACTCACCCCCGGGCCTTCTCGTCCACCGCTGTGCGGACAACTCGAGGCCCCTTGTGGGAGCCCGTAGCGCAGCGCCCCAAACTCAGGCCCCGTGCCGCCTCGTACTGCGCGGCCGGCGCCCTGCTAAGAGAAAAAGTACCCTTTCCCGCGCAAGCCGCCACATGAGAACTCAGCCCCCTAGCTCCCAGGTACTCTTGCCTCCGTTTGCGAAGTGCCTTCTTCGTCCCGCATCCGTCGCGACCGGACCGCGTAACCCCCGTCGTCAACCTTCAGGCTGCCACTTTTTTGCTCCCCGGCTCTCCCATGCAGCCCGCATCTGCGTCTCGCCACTCCATTTGCGAGCGCCCTTTCCTGCGCCATCATCCATCGCCTTCGGCTGCCCCAGGCGATCCCGGCCCTTGACCAGGCATCCTTTTCTTCCCTCACCACCGAGCGGGCTCACCCTCACCGACAGCAACCGGCGGCCGTCTGCACGCCTGCACGCCATGAGGCCTGACTGGCGTGCCGAGACCTCGCCGCACAATACGCACGCCGCCGCATCGCCCTCATCCTCCTCGGGAGCAGACACACGCGGCGAAAAGATACCCAGGGCACTCGCCGGCGACGACAGCTGGACACGCGGGGGGGACCCTGCTGATCCCACGTCGCGCCCCGCGCTTGTCGCGACCTCGCATCGCCGACCACCACCGACGTCCGACGACCTAGACTTGGACATGACGGCGCGCCAGCAACTACGCCGTCATCTTCTTGACCGGAAACCGCGACAACTTCAGCCCCCAATGGACCAGCGCAGCGCCGCCAGCTCCGCCCACAGCTTCACCCGCTCCGTGACAAACTCCCAAGAATCCGCCGCCACGACGTCGACGGATCAGATCGTCACGCCTCCCCCTAGCGACACCAGTGCCGGCCTCGACGGCTCAGTGCTGACAGAAGGTGGCAGGGGAAACGACGGCGCCAAGGAGGCCACGGTCAGACAAGGAAACGCCGACGAGAGTGTCTTTGACGTCGCCAGCCAGGAAAGCCAGCTGCATCAACTTTCCGCCGTTGCCGCCGTCCAGGACAGGATGGTGCCGGACGAAGCGGGTGGCGGCGGCTCGAGGAAGCGCATGGCCGACGGCGCGGTCAAGACGCGTGACGGCAGCGTGAGTCCGGTAAAAGGACACTCGAGGACCACGAGCGCCATCAGCATGGCCTCGACCACCGGCAGCAACATTGGCGAAGTACGACCGCAGCCGTCATTCTCCCCATCGCCTGCTTACGCTAACACCGTCTTGTCCAGTTGTCTGCCGAACTCAAGACGCTCCTCTCCTACGCCATGGTCAAGGTTAACCACGGCTGGCAGTCACGGTCTCTTGATGAGGTAGAGTCCCTGGCTTCTCAGGCAGTGTCACCCACCTCGAGTGCCTACACCGTGCATCGCCCGCAGGACGCCTCGACCAGTCCGCGGCAGCCCGTGGCTTCTACGGCGGCTCACGTTCACTTCCCACAGAATCCCACGAGGGCCCGGCGCGAGTCCAACTCGCCGCCTTCGCTGCTATCCCCCGCTAAGCCGGCCCTGGCCGCCGCAGCCTCTATCCAGCCTGCCGTACCTCCTTCCAAATCCAGCCTCAACGCTCGCCGCAATTCGAATCCTCGGTATACACCTACGATGCTCTCCCGCGCACCTTCGGCCTCTCCGCACACGCCAGGCCCGGCTCCGCGACCCGACACACGCCAGCCGTCCATGTCACGAGCGGAGCAGGACGTGGCCGAGAGCCTGCTATTCATGAGCAGCCCGGGGAACTCGACAAATCTCAAGCACACCTTTTCACCCTCCATATCCCCAGGCGCTCAGCAGCCCATACCGCCCCGGAATGTCGGCGCAAGGCATGCACTGCCCAGCGGCCCCCGCAAAGCGCTCCCGACGCAGCGGCCTGTCGCTGCCGGTAAGAAGGTTGGAGGCATGCCCCCGCCTCCGGGCTCGCCCATGGACCTGGATTCGCCGCGATCGACTTTACTCTCTCCTGTCCGCGGAGCCCCCAAGAGACGGGCGAATGGTGCGAGCTCCCATGTGAGGGCGTCTCTGTCACTGCCTAGTGGCCTGGGAATGGTTCCAGGCAACGCGAGAAAGAGCCTGCGAGACGAGGACATTGAGCGAATGCTGGACCGCGCCGGCACCGAGTCACCCGACAGCTCTGACGGTGAAGATATTCAACTGCCTCCGGGCCGGAGAGGCGTGGCCAGTGCCATGGAGACGTAGCCAGGCCTGGAGACGTAGCCAGGCCTACGCCTTTTGCTGGCCGTCTCCGCCCTACTGACTCTCGTTTGCCGCTGGCGCACGTCGCCCCTGACAGCTATCCGTTCCAGTATCCAGGCTCAACCCAACGTGACGAATTTACGACAATTCTACATGGAAATCTTGTTTGCAGTCGTCTGCTATTCTCGTCCTGCTCCTCACCCTAGACCATTACGGATGATGTCTTCATGAAGAGGAGGAAACGGTTCATCGCTTTACCATAAACCTGAGGTTCCGTGCTGGGGTGGGATACTCCATGCTCGCTTCGAATCTTTTCTCTACCCAAACGGACGCATGCTACGGGAACGAATGTCATGTACAGACTGATGACGACGGGGCTTTTCAACTTTTCAATTTCCTTGAGTATCCGCTCTGAGAGAAGAAGCATGGGTAGACGTGCAAGCATCGGGCTGCTTCTTGTGTTGTTGCATCGCTTGGCGGAGCGGTTCTGGAATGTGAGCCATGTGCTTTATCGCGCGAGGTGCAGATGACACGGGCTCGTATGGTCTGTGGTCTGGTTGCGACAACGCCTTGCACGACAGCACACCCGGCTTGAGGTGTTCTCAACTTTCGGTGCATCAGCATATGCATGTGCCAGTAACCTCTAGCTTTGCAGCTGAACCTCCTCCCTTTCTCACGTGTCCCGGCTTCTTTGCTTTGCACGTACCCTTTATCGCCTCGTATCCGCCAGTTCCCCAGGCCAGGACGGCCTGACGTACTCGCCGATGCATCGCGCCAGGGCGCCACTTTGCCGCCGCTTCACCGTCCTGCTCGGGGGGTGTGGAAGGCCGAAACAGGACGGCTCGCCACGAGGGATACCCGCACGGACCTCATCGTCGCATGTGTTGTTGCGGCTGCAGCGTGAACAGGCGGTTGAACAGTCGGCGCTGTCGTTGTGGTGGTGACGGTTGGCTGTCGCCAAGTTGCCCGGGCCGGGGCCAGGACCCGGGCGGAGGTGGGGCCGAGTTGCGGCGCGGAGGGTCCGGTCGTCGGCCTCGGCGAGAAAGATGTCGTAGTCTGTCGGCCCATGTCTGTTGGGTCGAATCGCACCATGGCCCCCACCGGCGATATCTTTCCTCTTATCCTCTACTTCCGTCCCCCCTATCCCCTTCCCTTCTTCTTCCGAGTCCTCCGGCTCCTCCCCCTCGTGTACCATCGAGCGCTTCTCTTCCACTGCCCTCCTCTCCTTGCGCCGCCAAGCTAGCGGCGAGGCGGTACGCGCAAAGCTGGACGCGGCGTGCGAGGGGACGTAGGGCGTCCTTGGGGGGCGCTGGGGAGGCGACGGGGTGGTGTTGTCGGGGGTAGCGATGGGCTGGCGTCGGAAGAGCTGTGTCCAGGGTGCTGTGTAGCGCTGCGTCTTGGCTGTTGGCGCTGCTGCTGCTGCGGATACTCTCGGTGATGGGGTCGGGTCCGAGGGGCATGTTCTTGTGATGGAGCAAGGCGGAGGAGGGCCGAGGGATAGGGACTCTTCCCGCTCGCCTTGAAGTTCGCTCATGTTTCTCTAATCCGTCTTGACCTCTGAATGATGTCCCCCTCTTGGACTTCGATTTGAACGATGGCGAGGTACCTTCCTTCGGGTCTTCAATCGTATTAAGTTGACGAGCTTCCGTCTGGTGCCTGGCAAGGTCTTGGTCGGAGACACTCAGACAACGGCACGGGCACACAGACAGAGGCAAGAGCAGCCAGAAGTGCCACTACAACTTTGCTGCCTGTGCGCTGCACATATACCTAGATATATACGACGTACAAGGCGTCACGAGAAAGCAAGCGCCAGCCCGCACATCACCATCGCACAACGCTCGTTCCCGTGTGCGACGGCGGCTGGCCACAGAGGCAGCCACGCCGCGCGATATGCTTGTGCCCTACCGGATACCCACGGTACGAGCCAAGTTCAGGGCCCCTGCGGCTGTGGGAGGTATATGAACGGGCGGCGTACGGGAAGTGTGGTGACGACGGGTGCTTTCAGCTTTCAAGAACCAACAGCCTGCAAGGGGAGGGGAGGTCAAGCGGGTATTGTACGCAGAAGCAACATGTGCTTGGCGGAAAGGAGAAAGAAGCGGTTTGGCTGGTGGACTGGCCATGATGATACATACACGCACAGTCCACCGGGGGCGAGATGGAACTACAAAGGAAAAGGCAGTGCGGGCTGTCCTCTTCCGGCAACAGACATCAAGGGCAAGGGGAGGGCGAAGCATTCTAGGCACAGCAATGAGTAAAGCGTCCGTCTGGATGGAAGACTCCCAGGAAAGTCTGGCCACGCGAGCCGACGCCAGCACTTCGCCACCGGCCGCTACAGTACTCGAGGTCAAAGTCCTGATACAACGGGATAAAGGCGAAAATAGAAATAAACCGTGCCGCATGGAAAGAGGCTCACTTGATCCGGCGCCGGCCCCCGGTAGGCTGAGACTTGGCACACGCCCCCCGGGGTTATTGCCTTACCAATGAAACTCGCGGCGATGGTCTTTGGACCCGACGCTCCCTCTCATTTATCATTTTCAAGAACTCCGTACCCATATTCGCAAATACAAAAACATCAGGTAAAGAAAAAGGCTGGTAACTGGCCAGTCGCTGCTTGCTACGAAGTCCTTGAAGTACAGTACGTATGAAGTTACTCGCCAGACTGAGGGCGAGCTGATGCGAGTTCAATGTCTGCGGGAAGCCGTAAACGCAAGCCACCGGCACAGAGTGGCTCGACGATCCCGCCAAGACCGCTGGGCAACCTCGTAAGCCTCTGCAGTCAATAGTCCGCTCAGGTCCGCGGACCAGGCAGCCCCTACAGGCATCTCCCGCCTCCCGTTCTAGCCCCTTGCTTGACGATTGAAGTGACGGTCAGCGAAATTGCACACGAAGCTTTAGTTAGATACAGGGACCCTCAAAGCCTTTTTATTTATTTAATGAGTGATAGTATCTGGGAATCCAGGATGCCCACTGCGCTTCCCGATTCCGCGTGACTGCACTTCCAGATTCCTCTTTGCCGTCACCGAGCCGACTCGGCTGGTTTCCACCCGTTTCTTCTTGTTGGATCAATTCTCGTAGATTCCGAATATGTCGTGTAAGGAAAGTAATGTTGGAACCCAAGACGCCCACTGCTCATCTCGGCTCCACTTGTATCTCCAAAATTTATCTGTCAGGAAAACCCCGAAGATCCGAAAGCCATCTGCTCTTCTGAATCTGAAATGCTCGATGGAGCAGACCACGAAGGATAAGAGGTTTGACGACAAGCGAGCTCCAACCCCTTGCGGGGGCCTTGATCCCTTGACGCCGAATCAAAGGTAGATGCTACCACGGGCTCACTCAAGCTTCCACGGACACGACTCGAGTCGACTGCTGCGACGAGCCAGTGTCTGGAAGATGCAGCTTGGCCAGCGCCGCAAATCCGCCCCGGACGCTTTGGGAGTCGACTCCCTTGGCACGCAAGACGCTATTGGCCACCCTGGCGCTATCTCCGTCGTAGCACATGGTCAGGATTCTCTTGCCCCGGAGGATGGCCATCAGGGCTTCTGCACTGGGGTTCCGCACTCCATCCTTGTCTTTGATGGTGAAAAGCCTTTCTAGCTCAAGCCACAGTTCCTCGAGCATTGTGCAGTCGCCGACGGGGTCTGCGAAGGGGCTGCCACGCGTTGCGCCATTCTTCAAGACTTCGAGGGGAATGTTGACCGAGTTGGGCAGGTGGAAAGCGTTAAAATCAGCGGCTCTGCGGAAATCAAGAATCTGCGTGTTTGGCTTTGCGACCAGGACTCTTTCCAACTCGTCGACGCAGTTGCCAGCCAGGCAAAGTGCCGTGTCTCGGCTGTTGGTGGGATGAAGTGTGAAGAAGGTTGAAAGGGCGTCCATGGCCTCTCGCTCCCAGGCATCGTCGTAGCGATACAAGTCGACATGCCGGAGTCTCTGCGGGCAAGGTCATTAGCCATCCAATGGCTCACGCCGACCAGGGCCTCTAACACCACTTACCTCGTTTCGCACTGGCCGAAACTTCTCAGGGCCCAGCTTGTCAAAATATTCATTCAGATATTGGAATGGGAGATCGCAGCACATGAAGACGCAGTTGATCTCGCCATTGGGGCCTGCCAGCTGCGACAGAGTGCCATCCTGCTTCTTCTTTTCGATACGTTGCAGGAGACCCTGGAGCGTGAATCCAGAGGATGGCCCGCACACGATGCCCTGGCGGGTGAGGTCGAGCGAAAGAGAGTAGGAGTCTTTCGAGCCTACCTCTTCGATGACATCGACAGCCGACTTGTATGGGAACTTGACCTCGCTCATGAGGGAGAATTCCCGGGGCCCGGGAACCCTGTCTCCCGCATCGGTGCACACACTTCCAACGACCGTTAGTGATGGAGCCAACGATCCACCCGTGTTTCCACTCACGCAATGCGGTAAACCGATGGCTTCGCTTTCCCGAAGTACATACCAAGCCCGGTCATTGTTCCTTTTCGCCGAGTTAAATATCAACGGTCATGGCAGATATATATTGCGGGACATCTTACCAGCGGTTCCCATGGAGGCCGCAATAACATTGATATCGGGAAGCTGCTGGTGAATTTGCGGAGCTGTCCAGCGTTCATGGGCCTTCCAGTTCTACCGAGGGCGTCAGCTGTCCAGGCCTTTTGGGTCTTCAATCTCGTTAGAACTCAGCGCACATTGTCATTCTGGTATTGGTTCGGACTGCAGACTGAGTCGGACTCCATGGCCTTTCGAGAGGCGGCTCGGATACCACCCCTTTCGTCGACGGGGGTTGGCTGGGCCGGGCCCCCAAACAGAGTGCTGGATTGTTTAGTTGCGAGCATCTACTTGACAAGCAGCTTTGGGCGCCTTACACGTCAAGTCCGAAAAACTGCATAAGGCGCACTTTGGTCTGGCTCGTCTTGTTGCTGAGGTACGCATGGACATCATCGATGCCGTGGAAAGCCCGGGCCACCATGGCCATTGATATCACGGTCGAACCCGAGCTGCTTTCCACAATGGTCTTGGTCTTGCCGGGCTCAACGCCCTTTTCCAGCAGATTCATGGCTATTGGAGATTGCTTGGCTGAGCAAATAGCAGGCTACATGATTGGCCGGGAGACGAACCTGGCATGACCTTGACATTGGTGGCCGGGTGCATCGACATCATTTTGGCATAGATGCGGACGCCATCGGCGCGATTGGGGTTGAGGCAGTCGGGAATCTCGACCAAAGGCAGGGGAGGCTGGCATTCGGGGTCAAAAAATTCCCTCACGGACTGAGGCCCAGAGTAGACATTGAGGTTGTTTCGTCCCATCATGGAGCGCAGGGCCGGGAGCTGGGGAGTTGGCAGTCGGGTCGAGCGGGCTTCGGAATGAAGATGCGACGGGCTCAGAAAACCAGGAGAGAAGGCACAGGTGCAAGAGTTTGGTTTATAGTTCAAAGGCAACGGCACAAGACGAACTTGTAGCTCAACTCACTTCCCCACATTGCAGACGATCCGGGTTCGACCGGGCGGCTCTCCATGACGAAGACGTCCAAGTGTCGGGGCTAGATCCCTACCCAGGGTTCGGGGTGAGGGTTCAAGGCCACGGCAATGCGGCGCGCAACAGGCTGGCCATTGCGGGCTGACATGCGGCGGCATCCGTCTGCTGTCATTGGGCAAAGGGAGGGAAAAGGCAAGCCTGGGGAGGAGCTTTTAGGCGGCAGTTCGAATGGGAAGTGTCGAGGACAGCCAAAATGCAAAAGCGCTCGCGTCGGGCCATCGGCAAGGCACGGGAGGTCGGCGGCCTAGTGCCTTGCTAGTCCTGGATCCGCATCTCCACGGTGAGGGGTGAGGGTTTTGCGCTGGACGGTGGCAGACGAGTAGACGTTGAGAGAGTTTGTCCCGCCTCTGGCTGGCGCGGTGAGCCGGGGATGTCGGGGTTAGGAGGGCTCCAAGCGGCCGGGGATTTGGCCAGGGAGCGAGGGACGGCACGAAGCCTCGTGATGCGTGCCTGCTGCGCAATTCAAGTCGGTGAGATGTGCTTGGGAGATACAACTTGTGGTTGGCTAGACAGGATGCAGGTGAGGGGGCGAGGGGCGAGGGGATTCCGGGGTCGAGGCCATCGGCGGAGGAGGGTTTTTCCGGATTGGCTGCCCCGCCGGATGCATACGATAAAGGGAGCAAGCAGCTTATGTACTGTACGTACATACTCGGTACTCGGTACATGTGATGTTGGACAAGGGCATGCATATATATATATACGTACACTTCAAGTAGGTACCTAAGCATAAGATTTGCACAACATGAGGCGATTGAGTTCCGGAGTGCGTCTCTTGGACCTTGGCCAGAAGGCCGCCTGCAGCAGTGGCGCCGCAAGTGCTGAGTCGAGGCCGTCTTGCCGTCTTGCGGGCAGGATGCGCAAGAAGAGGGCCATTCCGGACGTTGTATGATGCCGACAAAGGGCAAGGACAAGAAGGTCATCTGATGATTGCGGGCACGTTTGGGGGAAGAGCAAAGAAGGCAGGCATCAGGCTCCACGTGCCTCGGTTGCCTCCCCTTGAATCCTTGATAATCTTACATGCCGTTCGTCTGCCGACAGACGGCGTCATGTTCCTCATCACTACGGGGTACAGTTACAGCCGTCGAGTTGGGTCGCGTGCATGTGAAATATCAAATCAATGCACGGTCATCCGAGCTGCGGCCGTGAAACAGCTGGGGCAGAGCTTGCCCATGGCCGCAGCGAGGTACGAGGTAATATTCGGTACTCCGCACTGTCCGCCCGTCCGGCTACAGGCTGTGTCCCCCCCCCTACGTATGTGCCTCCTCCTCCGCAAAGCATGTAACCGACCGGGGAAGCTGGGGCGGGCCGCCTGATGAAACCGTCTCGAGGGCGACACGAGAAATCAATCAATTGCTCTTGAATAAGGAGAGAGAGAGAGAGAGAGAGAGGGAGAGGGAGAGAGAGAGAGAAAGAGAGGGAGGGAGCGAGGCATGCGCGTCTGGAATTCCGGCCCTCGGCCCAACCGCGTTGCGTACGGCTCTGCGCTACGGGAACAAGAGACAGCAAAGAGAATGGCTGGCTGGCTGTGTCTCCCCCAATCTCCCTGCGGCCCTGCCTGTCACTGCTTGGCAGGCTCAGAGTTATTTACACATTTAGCCACGCCGGCCAATGGCTGCCAGCCCCCATGTCTGGCAAAAACAAGCACCATGTGCTGTACCGTAAGCCTCCCCCTGCCGATCTGCCGCCTCCCTCCGCTCTGTGGCTCTTTTCCGTCCTCCTTTCTCCATGACAACGGGGGCATCGTTATCTCCTACCACATGCTGCATACGGCCAAGGCCTCCGTGGGCGCATATGCCAAATGCCTCCTTCCAGTGCAGGAAGCGGCCCCGGGGTCGCCATCTTCGGCTTGCTGCAGCTAGCACGAGGACAAGGGCAAGCGAGAAGGCGATCGGCACCGGCGCTCCACCGGCCTCGCTGGTCCGCCGCCTCATGCCAGTCAGCCGTGCGTGGTCAGCCCGGACGAGCAAGCACGCTTGGGAGGCGATAAAGGGGGGACGGCGACCGATGAATGTCTCATTCGTAAATCAGTGCCCCGGCTGCCGAGCCATAAGAGACGTCCTGCAGCCTCACGTCAGAGGCAGGCCTTCTGGCATATCACGAGCTTTGGGCGCCGGCACCCACTCCCCTACCTTGCCTTCCCCCCCTTTTGCCCTTTGTGTCCCTTTGTTTATCTTGGTCGCATCCCCCGGCACCCTCTCTCCCCTCTCGTCAACTTCCCTCCCCAGTGCCGCCACCTGTGCCTGACACGCAACTCCCACAATGGCATTGGCTCTCCTGCTGGGTGCCTGGGCCTTTGCCGGCCTCGGTGCCGGTTCCGCCTGTCTCGAAAGGGCTCACGACATCCCCGAGGGGTGGCAGAGGCTCAGCGAGGCGCCTGATGCTCATCAGCGGCTGCGCATGTCCTTTGCCCTCCGCCAGCCCGATACCCAGACCCTCTACGCGTCCCTCAACGGCAACACCCGCCTGTGCGTCAACCAGATCCGCGCGCTGAGGACGCCGGCCAAGGACGATGTCGACAGTGTCCTCCGGTGGCTGGCCAGCAGCGGAGTCAGCGACGCCCAGTCCGAGAAGGACTGGATCCATGTCCGCACCACGGTTGCCGAGGCCGAGAAGCTGCTCAACATGAAGATGCACCGCTACTCGTTCGAGGGCAAGCCCCCTATTCTGCGCACGACCGAGTACTTCATCCCCGACACCCTGTCCGGGACGATCCGCTTCGCCCACCCCATTGCCAACTTCATGACGCCGACGCACGACGTTGCTGCGTCTCGCGAGCTGTCTGCCGACAAGTCCATCCAACAGCGCGCCCTGCCTGCTTGCGAAGACATCATCACCCCCGGCTGCATCACAAAGCAGTACAGCCTCAACTATACCGCACCCAAGGGCAAGTCGCCCGTGCGCTTCGCCGTCGCCGGTTTCCTCGACCAGTTCGCCAACTACGCCGACACAGATGACTTCCTCAGGCGCACGAACCCGGAGCTCGCATACAAGGGCTACAACTTCTCCGTCGAGCTGATCAATGGCGGGCAGAACCCGCAGGACCGGGCAAGGGCCGGCTCCGAGGCCAACCTGGACATCGAGTACGCCCTGGCCATCGGATATCCAACCGAGGTGACCTACTACTCGACGGGAGGCCGAGGCGTCAAGCTCAACGAATCGGGCCAGGCCATTCCCGTGGAGTTCTCCGACAACGAGCCATACCTCGAAATGGTTGAGTATATGCTCGACATGCCCGACGACGAGCTCCCCCACGTCCTCACCATGTCATATGCCGACGACGAGCTCTCTGTTCCCCGGCCCTACGCCGAGCGTGTCTGCGCCCTGTTCGGCATGCTGGCTGCCCGCGGCATGTCCGTCATCGTGGCCTCGGGTGACGGCGGCGCCCGGGGTGGTCGCAACGCCTCGTGCCGAACCAACGACGGATACAACAGGGAGACGACCGTTGCCACGTTCCCCGGCTCCTGCCCGTGGGTGACGGCTGTCGGAGCTACGACCAACAGCGACAATCCTCCCAAGGGAGCCTATTTCAGCACCGGCGGCTTCTCGCAGTGGTTCAAGCGGGAGAGCTGGCAGGACGAGGCTGTCGACGGCTACATCAAGGCGCTGCAAGGCCGCCTCGAGGGCTTCTACAACCCCAAGATGCGCGCCATCCCCGACATCTCGGCCGTCGGCACCCAGTTCCTGACCGTCGTCAACGGCAAAGACGTGATCCTCGACGGCACCAGCGCCAGCGCGCCCGTGCTTGCGGCCATGATTGCGCTGGCCAACGACGCGCGGCTGCGCCAGGGCAAGCCCTCCCTGGGCTGGTTGAACAAGAGGCTGTACTCGGCAGAGGTCCGCAGGGTCCTTTACGACACACAGGGCGGTGTCAGCAAGCCCTGCCCGTTCTCGGGAGGGAAATCGGCTGGCTGGCCTGCCGCGAAAGGATGGGACGCCATCACGGGCCTAGGCACGCCGGGCAAGTTTGACGACTTTTTGCGCGTCCTGGTGGAGGGGTATTGATTGAAGGACAAAGGGTTGCGTGATCGTAAAGATACCAAAGCAAAAAAGGTCTGTCTTGAGAAGTAATGTCTATACGGCATGCACGTTGTGATGGTTCGGCATAGCAGCGTTAGCCAATTGATGAAAGCATTTGAGCACCTGCACCAGCATGGGGGGGGTTTCTTGAGCAAGTACTCGTGACTCCCATTGCACTCTGAATTCGGCAATAATTCTGGCGGGAGCATCTTCCTTGCGGTCCGATCTCTGCAACAGGGGGTCGGGGCCAGCGTTTCCGTCATCGTGTCCAGTATTGCCATCGGTGGATATATCTCCCAACGTGCATGCAAATGGTGGCGGCCCGTCGTAAACTGCTTCTTTTGCTGCGTCGTCAATGCCGTCGAGTGTCTCGGTGTCGTTGGATTAGCCACCCCGGGCAAGAAAAAGGCTGAAACATGTGTGACAGACAAGAGGAATTGACGTGGGAGCGAAGCACGACTTTGCAGCTCAATCTGGCAGAGGACCTAGGGATGGATCCATTCCTCTACCGGGGCCGCCCGTATCCACTGCGGCCGAGGCTGTTGGCATCCCTGGAAGTGGGTGGCTGCTGGCGCGTGGCGCTAAGATCAACCGGGCCGGGCGATAAGGTACCTGGCCTCCGGTGCCACTCACCGCCTTGCTCTGGGTACTCCTGTCACTAGCGTTAACGCTTGAGGGCTAGCGGACCGGCAAGGAACCGCGACATCAACAATCTCGCGTCAGCCGTCTTTCTGCCGACGCCGGTTTGGCCTTCTGCACTCCCCGAAACGACCAATTGCCGCCTCGTTGCTTGCCTCCCGGCTGCCCTGCGCTCACGTGCTCCATCGTCGAGCACCGCCTGCCTCTTCCAGCTCTTTTCTCCTCCCCCGTCAAAGGCGAGCCGCACCCGTTGAGAGTGGCCGAATTGTACCTCGAGGCGCGGCGGTGACGGCTAAGTGACTCTGACGGACCGCGACGGCATCGCTAGCCGTCCGTAAACAATACGGGCGTGCCTCTCGAAAAGCTATCGCTGCGCCCACGATGCTGATGCTCGGTCCCGCTCGCAGCCACGTGTGCAGTCTCTGAGCGCCTTGCCGTGCTCATCGACAGCGTCTACGACCTCAGTCTGCGAGTGGTACGGTCGATAGAGCGGGGTCTGCTGCGACTCAATCACTATTCACGATACCCGCGTCAAGGCAGCGACCAATCGCCCTTTTGCCCAACATGCCCACGCAGCACGTCGAGCCGCAGTCTGATAACCACCTCGACGATGTTTCCAACTCCCTGCTCAGGGCACGCAGAGTGGTTGTCATTACCGGTGCCGGCATAAGCACCAACTCGGGCATCCCCGTACGGGCACGTTCGGAGCGGTTCGACATGTTAAGCTAACACGGGCAGGACTTCCGATCCGAAAATGGCCTTTACTCGCTGGTCCAGGCTCAATTCGATGCCGCCGCTCGGCAGGCGCGTCGGTTTGACCCAGCTGCCAGTGCTGGGGACTGCGATGGCCGCGACGAGTTCCGTCTTACGAAGCGACGCAAGATCTGCTGTGAAGACTCAGCAGGATTTCCCGACGACGAGCCCGCGCAGGCCAAGCAGGACTCTACCCAATCGTCAGAGCCCAAGCTTTCGCCATCATTTCATCACAAGACGGCCGACGAGATCGAGCCTGTCGCGTTCCAGCCGGAAGACTGCGACGGCCTGGCTGGCCAGCCATTGCGTACTCCACAGCCAAAGCTAGCCATGATCTCAACGACAGACATAACCACGTCGCCGCTGTCGTCGCCTCCGGCTGACGACATGATCATCCCCCCGTCCACTTTGCGCTCGCCCACTCATAAGCGACTAGTCGACGTTACGCTGCCTCAAAGCTCATCGCCACTATCGTCACCTCCTCCCGCCCTCTTCGATTCCTTCATCCCAAGCTCTCCCTCTGCAGCCATCTTCAGCCGACGGAGTAGTACCTCTGCATCCGAGGCAGATAGCTCCACCCCCGCCTCGAACCCCCTGAGCTCATCGCACACTTGCAATTCGAGTAGAGGTGCACTTCTAAACATGAAGGGCAAGGATCTGTTTGACGCCACCATCTGGTCGGACCCTATAAGGACGTCCGTTTTTTACACTTTTGCGACGTCTTTACGGCAAAAAATCAAGATGGCGGAGCCATCGAGCTCCCATCGGTTCATCAGCCATCTGAGAGATCGCGGGAAGCTCGTTCGTTGTTACACGCAAAACATTGACCAGATCGAGGAAAAGGTAGGGCTATCCACCTGCCTGCTGGATGGCCCAGGCAATCGGGGGCGCTTTTCGCGTCGTTCTACGGCAGCTGCAAATCAGCTCAATAAAATGGTAGATGAGGTCGCTACCGTTGCCGACGAACCGATTAAGTCGGAGAAGCAGAGCCACTCTGACGACCAATCTGGATGCAATTCGAGCCAGCCATCCCAGGCAGGATCTTCAGACGGGACTGGTATGCCTGTTTCTGGAGGAGAGACCGCAGCTGCCGACCAGCGAAGGCCTCCGGCTCGGCCTCAGAAACGGGACCTACGGCGCTCTGGGGTGGAATGCGTTTTCCTTCACGGGTCTCTCGAGCTCCTGAGGTGCTTTCTCTGCGGAAATGTCTGCTCGTGGGACGACGACGAGCGCGAAGCAGAGACGTTGACGGGCCAGCAACCCGAATGCCCGCACTGCGTCGGCGCGACGGCGGCCCGAGAGGAAAGGGGGAAACGGGCTTTGGGCGTCGGCAAGTTGCGGCCAGACATTGTGCTGTACGGCGAGGAACACCCCAGCTCGCATCTCATCAGCCCAATCGTCACCCATGACCTTGCCCTGCACCCCGACATGCTGCTCATCCTAGGCACGAGCTTGCGAGTACACGGCCTCAAGGTCATGGTCAGGGAGTTCGCCAAGGCCGTACACAGCAAAGGCGGCAAGGTGGTCTTTGTCAACTTTACGAAGCCGCCAGAGAGCTCGTGGGGAGACGTCATCGACTATTGGGTCCAGTGGGATTGCGACGCCTGGGTTGCGGATCTGCAAGGCAGGATACCGACACTCTGGCAGGACCGCGATCTGCCGCGACCGAAAAAGAAGCGCGAGTCTGGTGGGGCAGTCGAGGGCAAGCAAAAGGGGGAGAAGAAGAGGCAACCGGCGGCAAACCCGGTCGCCTTGCGCGACACAAAGGCCACGGGTGCATACTGGACAGCCAAGGTGCTCCAGGAACTCGGCAGGATAACAGAGAAGATCCTGCCCGCACGCAGGGCTTCGATGGTGGCGGGCGAGCCGACCAGCCAGTCCACGAGCGAACCCTCGTTAAACGCTCTGCGAAAGAAGGGTAAAGCGAAACCAAAGCCTTCGAGGAAATCGGCACCGGGGGCGCTGGAGAAACCCATCCGGCCTTGTTCGGCACTCAACCCCGGCCACGGCAGGGCCGAGAAGAGAGGCAAAGAGGCGGCGGAAGCGGCTGCTGCGAGTGTCGACAACGCGGCGGCCATCAGCTCTATCCTGAATTTGGTCAAGGAGAACCCGAGGATACGCAAGAGAAAGGTGATTGACGGAGAGGAAGTGGCAGCACCTTGTGCGCCGCGAAGGCGCGGCCGCAACCAGAGCTACAAGGCGGCGGCGGCGGACCTCAAACTTCCACCTCTGCGATCTCCTCCGGCGCAACAGTCGACTCTGCCATGCCTTTATGGAAGGCCGGAGCCGCTGGAGCCGAGAAGCCCGCCATCGGGACCGCTCGCATCCCTGTCACCAAACCTGCGCACCGCAAAAGCTTTCCGAGCCAACCCGTTGTACCTGGACGACCCGATGCATCTGCTCGACTCGGCACCTCGCTGGTCACCGTTCTGGGGACACGGCGAGGACGGCGGGGGGCTGCTACTGGGGAGCGGGAACAAGGAGACTGAAGCGAGCCGTGGGTCCGGGTTCAAGGAGCCGGGGGCGAGCGGCTCAAAAATGATGGGAGGTCCGCCGCCGGGGCCGAGTCGGGTGTCGATGGGGAACTTGGAGGGGGAACTGATGGACTGGGGTGCCAACTGGAGCTGCAAGCGGTGACAGGGGCCAGGGCGATGGCGTCTTTGGGAGCCTAAATGTCGTGAGAGGTGGGCCGTGAGATGGGATGCATTAATAGAGGTACCTCCAGACGCAGACAGCCAGGGTCGGACGCACTTTATTCAGCACACGTGCTGCATGACTGGCTCTGGCGTGCGTCTCACGTCGGGCGCTGCTGGTGTTTTCTTTCCCCTTAGCCTTTGAACGATTGTTTACGAAGTACTTGGTCAGCCATTTCCATGGAGCGAGTTTCCTGCTCTGACGCCGTCCCGTTGCTGTGGACGTTATGTTGAGTACGAAGGAGGTCTGCGATGTCGGCGGTCCATTGGCCGGTCACGCGACGAATCTCGAGCGAGGCGCCATCTGCCTGACACTCGGGCGGCTCCCCATTCGTTCCCACCACGGCGGCTGACTCCGTTCATCGCCTTCCCAAGACAAGAATTCGTGCACGCCATGGATTTTGTGTCAAGTACGCTGTTGGCACCAGCCAGGCCACGCTGCGGGACAAAGGGCGTGCGTTAGTCGAGTGAGCTTTCCTCGGGTGAGAATACAGGGATGCAATGGCCTCATCTGGGCAGAAATGGCGATTCTCCCTAGTTCTGTTGCTTATGCTGGCTCGTGCAGGATGAGTCTTGCTTACCTAGGTGGCGAGCCATGTAGCCTTTTCATTCATGACGCCGAGAAGGCACTCTGATGCGTGGAAAAGCTACTTGCTCTCGTCATCCATGATGCGCTGCGTTCATGTTGGGACAGACATCTGGGACTCATCAGCGAGCGATTGCGGACCATTGGCTTAATTAGTAGATACTAGAATAGGTAGGTACTTAGGGCTAGGGTCGGCTCAGGCCTACATCCAAACCAACGGCGGGCAGGTTTGGCAAGGCTACAGAGGGGGTCGGGTGAGGCGGGTCAGGTGAGTGAGGCGCCGGAGCCAGCACCGAGGCCCGGAGCGAGCAGGCCGGCTCGCACGCCATCGCCAAAGATGGGTTGCTTGGGCATTTTATTTGTAAGGAGGGTTCAAGTTCGGCCCGGCCTCTATCTTTATCATTCTTGCCTCCCTTTCTCTCCATATCCATCTCCGTTCTCCTCGTCTTTCCTCTCACTCCACCTCCTCATACTCTTTGCCTGCCTGTTCCTCGGCCTCGTCGACCGACTCGCGGCAATGGGCCACAACTTGCCCATCATCAATGGCCCGCCCAAGCAGTCCCACGTCAAGCAGCTCGGCGGCGCACTGAAGAAGGACTTTCCGTTTGACCCGGAATGGCTCAATCTCAACCATGGTAAGTGCCTCGTCATCATCAGCTCAGGAAACAACAACTGGACACGGTTCCTCTCCTGACACTTCGCCCCTGGCCTGATAACGCCTTGTTAACATTGCTCTCCCGCCCAGGCTCCTTTGGCAGTATTCCCAATGCCATGTGCGCCAGGTTACGCCACTATCAGGACGCGACCGAGGCTCGCCCTGACCAGTTCATACGCTACGACTACCCCAGGCTACTGGATGAATCACGCGCCGCCGTTGCAGACCTGGTCAACGCTCCCGTCGAGACCGTTGTCTTCGTCACCAACGCTACCGATGGCGTCAACACCGTCTTCCGCAACCTGACCTGGGCAGAGGACGGCAAGGATGTCATCCTGACCTTCTCCACCGTCTACGAGGCCTGCGCAAACGTGGCCGACTTCATAGTCGACTACTACAACGGCGAGATCGAGCACCGGCCCATCCCCATTTCCTACCCGCTTGAGGATGACGAGATCCTCGAGGCCTTTCGGGACGCGGTTCGGCGTGTCGAGGCTGACGGCAAGAGGGCCCGCGTCTGCATCTTCGACGTCGTCTCCTCTAGGCCCGGCGTTCTCTTCCCCTGGGTCGACGTGACAAAGGCGTGCAAGGAGCTGGGCGTCATCAGCATGGTCGACGGCGCCCAGGGTATTGGTATGGTTCCTCTCGACCTGACTGCTGCCGACCCGGACTACTTCGTCTCCAACTGCCACAAGTGGCTGCATGTCCCCCGAGGCTGTGCCGTCTTTTACGTGCCTCTCCGCAACCAGCATCTGCTGCCAACGACGCTCGCCACCAGCAACGGATACATTGCCAAGTCGTCGCCCCGCGGCTCACCGCTCCCGCCAAGCGCCAAGGGCGTCTTTGTCAACAATTTCGAGTTCATGGGCACCAAGGATAACGGCCCGTTTCTGTGTGTAAAGGACGCCATTGCCTGGAGACGGGACGTTCTCGGCGGCGAGGACAGAATCTTGGCGTATCTATGGGACCTAAACAAACGAGGTAGCCTGCACGTCGCCGGCGCTCTGGGCACGGAGATTCTGGAGAATAGCAAAGGCACTTTGACCAACTGCAGCATGGGCAACGTCGCGCTGCCCATATGGATCGGCGAAAAGGGCGAAAACGCCCGAGACAGCGACGCCCTCGTCGCGGACAAGGACGCCGGCACAGTGTTTCAGTGGATCGCAAGGACCATGGTCGACGACTACAAGACCTTCATGTCGCTGTTTGTGCTCAATAACCGTTTCTGGGTGAGAATCAGCGCCCAGGTGTACTTGGATATGAGGGACTATGAGGTTGCCGCCAATGTCCTCAAGGAACTGTCGGCGAGAGTGAGCGCGAAATGGGGTTAGGACGACGCTTACAAGGCGGAGTCATACCACCATGAAATCTTGCGCTGTACACTCTTGAACTTCTCGACGACCCTGACGATCTGCTCGGGTTGTTCACCATTTCACAGTGGCCGTCGGGGCCCGGCGCTCGTGAGACTGCTCAGAATCACGGAGCAGCCAAGTTGAGCTTTTATCAGCGATTCGATGTTGCATCCCTCCGGTCCATGACTCTACCCGCTGGATGAGGCTCCGACATCCCCGTTATCGGCGGTGATAGTTGGTTGAACTTCGTCTTGAGTCGAGTTACTCTCCTTTTTTGACGGGGTTCTTGATGCATAGCGGACGATCATCTGGGCAGGGACTGTCTTTGGCAAGGGTAAGCTTCGAGAGGTCGTGGAGGACACTTCAACCTGTCCCATTTTCTCGGACGGAGGGCAGGGCGTTGGGGAGTTTTTGGCATCGTCGCGAACAGCCAAGAGTCGACCATTGAGTGGTGTTGGGCTAGACAGACACGACACACATGACGGACAGGCTCGAGTGATCTGCGAAGAGAAGGGCCCGCATGGTGGACTTTCAGATGACCTTGGTCAACCAGTTGGCCCAGCGTCGTTGGTATAGAGAGGTTTGCGTATGAGCTCGATATAGAACCAAAAGGCTGATCGGGTAACGGGCGGAGAACATTACGCGGGGGTGGGGGGGGGGGGGGGGGGGGGCCAGCGGGCGCCTAAGTTGCGGCCTGGCCTGTGAGATTTCGCATCGAATGCCATACGGTTGGATACCGATGGCCTCGTATGCGTCATCGACGACTTGACTTTGGGAATCTCGAGATGTGTCGCTGGGAAGGATGAGTTAGACGGATACATAGTGGCACGACCTTCCAGAGGCACTTGCTTGTCGCTGAATATTTAGATGCAGAAAGGGGGCGGCATCAATCGTGAGCAATCAACGCAACGAACAGCATATTGTTCGTACGTAAGTGGTGATCTTGTCGACCACATGAGGGCCTACATTCTCGGGTCACGGCTCTGCCCCTGTCCGCCGTGAGTGCGTCCGCACTTTGGACCAGTGAACAATGCAGGCACACCCACGGGCACATGAACTCTATCTCAACCCCATCACTTGGATTTGGCGTGGTCCGCTTGAGCCAATGCCAGTGATAGCCCAGACCACAACGAGGTGACGTTGGAGGGCATTCACAGAATAACAGCCCGGGTCTAAACGCGCATTCAAATGACAGGGAGCACAAAGAGGGGGTCTACCCGTTTGATCTGAATAGATGGGCTGCTCTGTGCGTCCGCTGCCCTCGTTGATACACAGTGAGATTTGCGCAGGGGGGGGAATTGCCGGGTCGCGGATGTTGGAACAAGTCCATTGACGTGGTTGAGGGTAGGAATGTGAATGACTCGAGTTGAGGACGGGAGGTGGTCACTACGAAATTGGGCAGAAAGACCAGATACAGGCATTGAGGTTCATGATGAAAGGGGGAGGACGGGAAGAGGCCGTTGCTGTTGACCTCGACGCCTTCCCGAAGCCTGAGCTCCATTAACGTTAGATACGAGCCATGACTGGCCTCGAGCCTTTCCAATCTTAAAGGACCCCTGGTGGTGGCCGGGCTTCGTGACGGTTGGCTGCCAAGGGAGTTTTGGCTCCATGGCACTTGGGCTTGTTGCTTCTCAGCGGTAGGCCTTGAAGCGGGATTCTCCGAAGAGAAGATGCGGAAATGTTCTGGTCGAGATGGAAGGCGACGGAGAGCAGCGAATGGCCATGGGTTGCCTTCAGCCAGGAGGGGCCGCCTCTGTCCATCGTGCGCCTCATTGTGGCCGCAGAGGAAAAAAAGGTTTGGAGCCTTTGAAATTGAAGGATGGTACAAAGAGAGGGAGGACAGCCAAAGCTGCTACACCACGGCCAAGGCGGGGAAGAGGCTGCGGCACCTCGAACTATATACCCGAGCTGTCTTTGTGTGGGCTTCAGCCACCACCCCCTTCCAGCTGCGGATTATGGCCAGTTTTCTACGTGCCTACCCTACATCTCATTTGAGCTTTCTGACTCGGTCTGAACCTACCTGCCTGGGCCCGCCCGCTATCTGAGATATCGCTGCCCGTGCTCATTGGGAGTTGTTGGGTTGGAACGTTTGGTGGGACACATATGTCATTATGAAAGCAGACGAGGACATCGGTTGCTTTGTTTATTTACCCGTGGATTGAAGCTGTCAGACGATACATTGCTACTCCCATCATGACGATCTTGCCTGTTGGATTCAAAAGTGTTGGTAGCGATGGTTGAAGACGAGCTGTTCACACTTCCACATACACACGTCCTTTTCTCCTTCTTTTTCCAGACTATGCCACTAGACGTATGGCAAATAAGTGTGAAATAGCACATACGCACAGGCTTATGCATGTCATTTTGCTCCTTGAACTTCTTCATCCTTTACCGTCACTTTGATTGCTGGGCCGTACTGTCTGTTTCTAACTCAGGTGAAGAAAACGACAACGACCCGGGCGTTAACTGACAGCCTCCCCCTTTCTAACTTGCAGGGAGAGGGGGTACGCGCGTACGACGACTCTCGGCGCCGCCGGGGCAGGCCGTCAAGCGATTCGCCTACAGGGGGTGTTTCAGCAAAAAAACCGCTCAGCAGGGCGTCTCAGCACTCGCATTGGAGCGCGTCTCGTGGGGGGGGGGCAGCAAACGCGGTAGCGCCGGAGATCATAGCGCCAGCGGGGGCGGCAAAAACTGGCGACTGGTGCGTGCGCGGTTTGGCGACTGAAACGACGGAGGGGAAGATGGGGGAGTTATTCCCGAGAGGCTCGCTCCTCGACCGAGGGAGGGCTTCGGGTTTAAACCAACTTCGTTGTATGGCTATGGGTTCTTTTGTGCCTGGGGTCGTAGGGGAGGTGGGAGATCGCCAAGGCTTGAAACGGAGTACACATCATCAGGTGTCTTGTAACCCATGATTTGCCCATTCCGTGGTTGAGTGTACTGCCGAATTTGCCGCCCCCTAACCACCTACAGAGCAGGTCCAGGTGCAAGACGGTGATCCTTGGGGGAGGGGGATCTGACAGGCAACGCTGAATCCCATCGACTTTCGACTTGTTCCCGGAGCCTCTTGTCTGTAAATACGGGGGCGGGGGCGGCAAACGTTCGACAATCCACGTCTCAATCAGGCATATAAGTGCGCGCTTGCCGAGCATAGCGTAGCCGGGCCAACGCGGCCCTGACGGGGACTCGCCCGGCCGGCGGGAGTCGTGTGTCCCGGCCACCCACGGACTCTCTCTCAAGACTCAAGGGTCTCTCCCCCCTTGTCAAACTTACATGTACTTTGATAGCAAGGGGGGGGGGGGGGATGACCTTAAGCGCCACCAGGGTAACGGCCCCACGCAGGAGGGGTGGACGACGACAAACGCATCCTCCTCGTCCAGAAACAAGCACTGTTTGAGCGATTGTTGATTATTGCAGTTCGGATCAAGAGCCGTCACTGTTAGCCAGCGGCATACGACTGGCTCATTCTGTCAGCCGCCATGCACGCGTGGCCTGGGCGGCAGCAGCCCCCAACGGAACGGACGGCCTATCCGGCACCGGCCTGATACAGCTGGGAACTCGGGCGAGGCTCCTGAAGATGGTCTTGATGTCTATTTGACCGTCCTCGTGCCCGCCGGCTCTGTGCCTGGCTTTCTTTCTTTCCCTTCCACTCCTCCCAACGCCCTTGCTCTGCTTCCCTTGTCTTGTCTTCCTTTTCTTATTCATTTCATTTTCTTAATTCCCGCCTTTAACGCGTGGCTTTCTCTTCTACAGACCAGTTACGCGGACTCTGGTGCGAGCTCACCACCGTCCCTGGGCATTATTTTCCCTACCTTCACTTCCTACACCCACCTGGCGTGGACTCTGTAGTATTTTTTATTTTTTATTCTTCCAAGAAAAGAAGCAAGCCTTGTGCTGCTCTTTTATTCCTCCCACAAATATGCATTTCAACTTCTTCCTCACCTTTCTCATGGCCGGCTTCCTGACCGTGGTCACGTCCTCCGCCATCCAGAAACGCTCCATCCAGAAACGCTCCTTCACCGTCGAGCGTGTAGCCAACCCCGGCTTCACGGGTCGCAACGGGCCCAGGGCGCTGGCCAAGGCGTACCGCAAGTACCGCATGCCGCTTCCCCGAGACCTGGTCGATGCCCTCGAGTTCCAGGAATTCCAGAAGCGGTCCCTGGCGGCGGAGCAGCAGCAGGTGCACGAGAGCAGCCGGGGCGAGTCCGCAGAGGAGAAGCGTGACTTCATGAGCAGCATCGGCGGCAGGGTGTCCTTGGCCGGGACTATCAAGGACGGCAAGTTGCAGCAGAGGGGTCTGTTGGACGACCTGGCAGGCAATGAGCCCGGTCAGGGAGGCCAGCAGCAAGGAGGCCAGCAGGAAGGAGGCCAGCAGCAAGGTGGTCAGCAGCAAGGATGCCTGCAGCAAGGAGGCCAGCAGGGAGGAGGCCAGCAGCAAGGATGCCAGCAGCAAGGTGGCCAGCAGCAAGGAGGCCAGCAGGGAGGAGGCCAGCAGGGAGGATGCCAGCAGCAAGGTGGCCAGCAACAAAGTGGCCAGCAACAAAGTGGCCAGCAGCAAGGATGCCAGCAGCAAGGATGCCAGCAGCAAGGCGGCCAGCAGCAAGGCGGCCAGCAGGGAGGATGCCAGCAGCAAGGCGGCCAGCAGGGAGGATGCCAGCAGCAAGGTGGTCAGCAACAAAGTGGCCAGCAGGGAGGATGCCAGCAGCAAGGCGGCCAGCAGGGAGGATGCCAGCAGCAAGGTGGTCAGCAACAAAGTGGCCAGCAGGGAGGATGCCAGCAGCAAGGCGGCCAGCAGGGAGGATGCCAGCAGCAAGGTGGTCAGCAACAAAGTGGCCAGCAGGGAGGATGCCAGCAGCAAGGCGGCCAGCAGGGAGGATGCCAGCAGCAAGGTGGCCAGCAACAAAGTGGCCAGCAACAAAGTGGCCAGCAACAAAGTGGCCAGCAACAAAGTGGCCAGCAACAAAGTGGCCAGCAGGGAGGATGCCAGCAGCAAGGCGGCCAGCAGCAAGGCGGCCAGCAGGGAGGATGCCAGCAGCAAGGTGGCCAGCAGCAAGGTGGCCAGCAACAAAGTGGCCAGCAGGGAGGATGCCAGCAGCAAGGCGGCCAGCAGCAAGGATGCCAGCAACAAGGAGGCCAGCAGCAAGGCGGCCAGCAGCAAGGATGCCAGCAACAAGGAGGCCAGCAGGGGACGAACCAAACCGGCGGCGGCAACAATCAGGCTGGATCCACGGCCGCCGTGCCTGAGGAAAACGACACAGAGTTCCTGTCTCCCGTCAGCATTGGCGGCCAGATGATCAACCTCGACTTCGACACGGGTTCGTCGGACCTTTGGGTCTTCAACACGCAGCTCCCCCAGCAGTCGACGGTCAACCACCGGCTGTACGACCCGGCCAAGAGTCGGACTTTTTCCGCCATGCAGGGGTCCCAGTTCCTGATCCAGTACGGCGACGGCTCCGGAGCCAAGGGCAACGTCGGCATGGATGTGGTCAATGTAGGCGGCGCGTCAACGCAGCAGCCGGTGCAGCTGGCCACCGCGGTGACGGGGCAATTTGTGCAAGACCAGAACAACGACGGACTCATGGGCCTGGCCTTTTCCAAACTCAACACGGTCAAGCCGCAGAAGCAGATGACCTTTTTCGACACTATCAAGAGCTCGCTCGCCATGCCCGTCTTCACCGCCGACCTACGCAAGAACGCAACGGGCGTCTATACCTTTGGCAGCATTGACCAGAGCAAGTTCCAGGGCCAACTCACCTCCATCCCCGTCAACACCTCCATGGGCTTCTGGCAGTTCTCCAGCGAGAAGTTTGCCGTCAATGGCGGCCAGCAGCAGGCGGCTACCCCTGGAGGCCAGGCCATTGCCGACACGGGCACCACGCTCATCCTCGCCGACGCCAAAATCGTCAATGGCTACTACCAGCAAGTCCAGGGCGCGCAGAACAACTCGCAGATGGGTGGCTTCACTGTCCCCTGCAACGCGAAGCTCCCGGACCTGGACCTCGACGTCGGCGGCAACTACATGGCGCGCGTTACCGGCGACAACATCAACTTTGCACCTGTAGGAAACGGCCGTGAGTCTTCTGCAACTCCCCTCCCCTTTCTACCCCCAACGGGCCTTTCCTCCTGCCGCCTTGGATCTGAACAAGCCTGCTGACACGAGTTGCTACCAGAATGCTTCGGTGGTGTCCAAGCCGCGCCTGCCGGTACCATGGGCATCTATGGCGACATCTTCTTCAAGTCGCAGTTCGTCGTATTCAACGGCGGTAACAACACCCTGTCCATGGCGCCACATTCGTGAATAAGCTGGACGGCCATGAGCGCATAGATGATCTGTTCATTGTACATACACATTTGATCTAATAGCATGAGCATCAACGATGCCAAAATGGGCCGGCACAGGGCCAACTGGGAACGAGTTGCAGCTCACCACACGCATGTCTGCTGCTTCCGGGAGAGGCAGCAGCGGGGATCACATCAAAGGCGTCACGCGCGACGAGCTAGAACAAAATTCAATCGTGACACCTACCATTGCCTGTGTGGTTTCCTGTGGTGTCATCGTGTCCCAAGTTGTGTGTGTCCCGAGTTCGATATCCAGAGGGCCGAGCCCCCTGGTGGCGTCAACCTCGCGCTTTGATTTGCGTGTTCCTGGAGCGCGGAGCTTCGCCGACATGGTGCCGGCCGCTGACGGCTTGCGTTCAAGCAGCGTGTTCGCCTCGAAATCGGGCGGAGTCCCGCAGCAGAAGCCAGGAGTTTGTTGGCAGTGTGGGTTCAGCTCAAGGTGGTGTCTGGTCCCCGATGGTGAGCGACTCTGTGTGTCTACGGGAACTTAGATCCGTTGGGACTCGCTTGAGGAACGGACCATCGAAGAAACAAATCGTAGGTCCAATGTACTGTACTGTAACGCACTGTAGTCGGGCGAGGCGGCTGAGCCAACCGACCCCTGCGGATGGGCGTCACATGAGACTTTGCTTGCGTGGGTACAGAGTACGAGTAACCGCTTTCGTGTCATCTTCTCGTACTTCGTACATCTGTGCGTCATGTTTTCTAGGCATCAACCCATGTCTCTCCATTGAATGCATTGGTTCAGCCGCTCGAAGCAGGACCCGTCCAACGGAAGTTACAATACAATACTTAAAAGTAGACCACTGCCTCAGCGGACTGTGCATCGACAGCATCGCTCAACCCCACACCATCGTCACCCTCACCCATTACATACAGATAGAAAGATGGGCTCATCACAGTCTAGCAAAGCCGCTCCCGCCTCGGAATCCTCCCCTCCTGCCGACAAGTCGCTCTACCAGCGCTTCCAAGATAAGAAGCGCGGCCCGCCCCTGAGCGACGAGGACATCAAGAAATACACGGGCAAGTCGCGCGACGAGCTCAACGCCTGGGCCGAGGACCAGCCCGGCGTCGGCAAGAATCAACTCGCGGGCAAGCTGGCCGTTGGCGGCGCCTCGGGTCTCGCCGGCGCCGCGGCCGGTGCGGGGTTCGGGGGATGGGGCCCCGACGCGGAGCCGAGCGGAGCCGATCGGGGGATGAAGTTTCCACCAAAGCCCGAGGCCAAGGCCGACTAGGAGTCGACCTGAGCGAGGTTCGCGGAGCAGCGATTCATCCTTTGGTGGGTGGGGGGAAAGCGGCGGAAAATAAGAGGGCCGCGGAGACAGCGGTCAATGTTTTGTTTAAGCGGGCACCGTGCAGCCTGTTTCTGCTGGGCGGGGATTATCCCGGATCCGGTTATATCTCTATCACGACAATGCAAATCCAGTTCTTTCCGCTGTCAAAAGGTTCGACTCGACAGGACCATTTGTCGAAGACACTGTGCCGCATGATCCTCGGGTCCGAACTTCATGCCCGCTATGGACAATGCTCCTGATCGGGACAGCAGACGAGTAACGCTGCCGATCTAAACATGAATGCTGCATTTTCACGGGTCTCCTCTTGGCCATAGGCTTTTTTATTGGAGTCGGTCCTTCGCAACGTTGATTTTAATCGAGCGTGATTCCCAAAGAACGACCCATTTCACGGACTTCGATGTGGACATTGCCCCCTTTGCCTCTCAATGCGCAGCTCTTTATCTACGCGACGGCCCTGTGTGCACTCGGGCGTGCTGTTTCCCTGTCTCATCCTTCATCTGGCCTGTCTACGGTGTAGATGGTGAGAGAGTTCGTTCTTGATCCATTGCAGTAACGTTGAAGCTGGGAAAATAGCATGTTCAATCTCACTCATAATGTGGACCATCCATGCCTTCCATTGCATAAAGCAACCTCTATTGCCCTCAATGTCTATGGTACGCCTTGGACCAGCCAGGTCCAGATTCATGATGGCTATCGCCATGCCATGTATCCCACCGCTGCCAATTTTCGACCTCGCCCTACCTAACACGTAACCAAGTCGAAACCGCCATGATCCTGACCAGGATTCCTCTGAGTCGAGGCCTTGGATGAAGGGGAAACATACAAACCTTTATCGACAGATGCGGTGTCAACATGCCACAGATGTGTCGTCAAACGCGACGAGCCTTGTGCGACCACCCGCATCAGCTACACGTAGCCCGCGTTGGCTATACAAAGGAATACTGTGCAATCGCGGTCCAGCCGTTTCTGTAACTTCAGTCTCACATAACGTCCTGTCGCATCAAACTCGAAATTCCTTTGCAGGGGAATCGTCGTGTCCGCTACGCCTGTACGCAGCAGCGCCAAGCGTCAGAGAGAGGGTCAACATGGCATGAGTGTGACGGTCCCGCCACCCCCGTGCCGCATGATCTGAGCCGCCTGTGTGAAAAAGGAGTCGATGCGTAGCATGGCTGCCCTGAGAAGAGTTTTCGCCTGAAGGTTATCGCACTCGCCTAGCTCATGGATTGTCTGATGAAAACACTCGAGCATGCGATACGCCCTTTCAATGTCTCGGCGCTCCCATGCAAGCAAGAAGAGGTAGACAAGAAAGTTCCCGCAGAGAATGAGCTGCGATCGAGCATCTAGAGGCCATGAGGATTGTTCAAGTCAGGATCAAAGCACATGTAGATGAGCAAGGAAGTGGTTCACGCACGTCGTCCCCAGAACCCAATCAGATCATGCTTGTTAATGCAAGTAAGAAACTCGGCAAACGACTCAAACTCCAGGAGTGCTGCCGGGAACCATCTCCGAAGATTCGATCCCGGGGTCGCCTTGGCTGCCCGTGTTGGAGGGTACATGAGGGCTCGATAGAGGAGCACCTGAGCGGCATAGAAGGACAGGTGGAGAGGACCTTGGCATCAAAAAGAGGATCAGAATCTGAAAACTCAGCCATTTGAACGCGTGCGACTTACAGTTGTAAGACGTTACGGACGATCGGCGCCGCTCCTCGTGCTGAATGACAAGGCACGACGGAAGGAGGCTTGGCCAGTCCTGAAGCTTTGCTTGCACCGCAACGAGTTCGGCCTGAGCTTGCATTCTGTCGCTTATCGTCATGGCTCTCGTGTTGACTTGACTGCACATTCGAGTCGCGGGTTAGCGAGTCGATCATGATACATCCCATGCTGCATAGCTTGTTGCTGGTGCAGCCCTGCTTGCCTTTATACCACGGCCTAGCCAGCAAAAGGAACATATACAAGAGGCAAGGGGGCAAGAATATGGACTAACAAGCTGCAATCCAGAACCGTCCGCAAGTGGCGGGCGATGCTGACCATCTCCATGAAGCGAGCACCGGCTGAGACCTCAAAGTTGGCGTCGGGTGGCTCCACGAGATGGCGCAACTCTTCAGGCACGCCCTCGTCCGCCCGGACGTCATCTATGGTGAGCGGGCATGTGTTGAAAGAGCTGGCACTGATGTGCGGAGGATTTCCGTGGCAGATGGACGACCAGCAGTCGGTCACAAATGTTGCCCACCACAGCTTCCGGCGCAGCTTCTTCTCCAGCAGCTCAATGTCCCACTGGCCCGGGTCCTGGTGGAGGCCGATCATCTGGGCACACGCCGTGGCCTGCGCGGCAAAGGTCCATGTGGTCGGAGCTTCCATGCTATCGAAGGCCGGGGGCGTGACGTGGATGAGCAGCAAGCAAGCCTGCAGGATGAAGAGGTTCGGGTTTTCGATCTCACGTCGGAGCGCCGAGTGGGCATGGCTGACCAGCTCGTGCTGCTGGAAGGGACAAGGGGTGCCGCGGATGGCCATGTCGAACTTCCAGAAGACGGACGCGAGGGCGTAGAGGGCGCCGCGCAGGCAGGCCGGCACGGACTTCTTGTCGGCATGGTATCGGCGGAGGAAACGAACTTTGGAGACAATAGGCAGCACCGGGTGAACGTGGCGGAAGTAGAGCCGCACCAGGTTCTCGCCGTAGGGCCAAACCTTGGCCTCGATCGCGTCCGAGGCGGCCTGCCGGGCCCGGTGGACGTGATCCGGGTGGCCGATCTCGAGGCAGAGGAAGTGGATGGGGCGGTCGTCGGGCAGAGAGCTCCCCGGGTGCACCTGGACGATGTTGCCGTCGAGGTTGTACCTTTCGCTCAATATGCCGTACCGGAAGGCGTCGAGCAGAAAGGTGTCCTGCTCCGAGGTCGGGCCCATGTGATAGGCGGTGCGGCCGACAATATCCTCGAGACTTGGCGCGGGACGGGCGAGGACCGGAGAGGTGAGCGGGGGTGACTGAGCGTCGGCTGACTGCGGTGGCTCTATGTCTTCGGTCGACGGGCTAACATGGTAAACAAGGTTCTGATGGACGACGGCGGCCGGCCCGTAGGCCTGCGGTCGGGCGCTCGACTCCGGCCCAAGGAGCTGTCCGCACGGGCCAAAGGGCGAGGCGACCGTAGGGCTGTCCTGGGTGGTGCTGGGCGTTGGCAGCTCGTTTACCTCGATTCGTGATGCCGCCGGAGGTACGGCGATGTGCTGGGAGGAGGAGCTTGGTGGTAGCACCGGTGCTGGCGGAGGCGGCGGCGGCCCGTAGCCGACGACTCCGGCTTCGTGACTGACGGGCACGGCATGGAGAGGATGAGGCGGAGGGTGAGAAGGGGTGTCGTGGCGGGGCGGAGTGTGGTGATGAAGCTCGAGATCTTGTGCTGATCCAGGCGTAGATGCGGGCGAGGATTGACAGACGATGCCTCGGCTTTGGCAGAAGAGACCTGGTTCCGGACGATCAACGAAATGGCCAACACGACTTTTCGGAACTGCCGTGTGCATGTCGAGCTGGGGATCGGTCATGCGGGCAAGTGTCTGCTACATCTGTGCTACTACAGACGCTGGCCACCCGGATCTGAGTCTCGACCTGATAGTACCCCTGAGCCACATGTGCTCAAACTGTCATGACTTGAACATGCCCAAGCTTTGGTCGATGGACTCGCGTGCCATCATGCCGAGTCTGGTCCGTTGTGACCCCCTCGCCATCAGGGCCGCACCACATAGAACGCAGCAGGACAGGCAGAGAGGGGGGGGGGGGCTGGGGGCGACCATGGGGAATAACGTAACGGTAATAGATGGTTGGCAGAAAAGGGAAGCCTTCGTTCCAATCCCCTCTCTTCGTGTTCGGTCTTGGCCAGAGAGAGAAGCAGGGAGGACAGGGGCAGTGTAAATAGTGGGATGGGACTGAAGCTTGGTAGGAGAAAGCTCAAGGAAGGCCACTGAGGTAGACATGAAAGGAAGCAGTTGAGGCTTACATGGCGGCTCCAAGGTGATGACGCAGGCCGTCTTGCGTCTGCGGCACGCGTCGCACGGCCGGTTCTTGCGGCTCCTCCGCTCCCTCGGGTTGCCAAAGCTACTCTGTATGACAAACTTGCGTGGACGGCCTGGGGGTGCGCCGCCGTGGCCGTGGGCTGCTGCCGCTGCTTGGCCGTCGCCATTCATGTTCTCTCGCGGGCCCCTGCTGCAGGGGCGCCGCCGGCAGCGAGCTGTTGCGTGGTACGACCCGAACCGGCCCGAACCGACATGGACGCGGCGGCAAGGCCACGCGTGAGATGATGCGGAGGTGATGGTGCTCGGTGGGAGCAGGATAGGATGGTAGGTGAGTCGGCGAACGTGCGATCGGTCAAGTAGATGGATCGAAGAGGGAGGGGAAAGGGGGGGTGTCCCTGGACGAGATTGATGAAGTTGACCGAAGGTGTTCGTTCGGCGTGCTGGCAACTTAACTTAACTTTCCTCACTCGCTCTCCCACTATCCCTCTTGTTCCTTTCAGTTCAGTCCCACTTTGTCTGTTGTAATGGCCCCGACTTACGTTCGTGCTTTGCTGTGCTACGTCCTTGCTCTCGTATGAGGGTGCATGGACACGGATGCGCGCCGACGGGGTGAGTAGAAATCGGGCGAGAGACGAAGGTGCTCGTCGCGAAAATCACCGAGCTTGCTCATCTGACGAAATTTACGGCGACAACGGCAGACGGGCATCGGAGCTTGTCCGCACGTACTGTACATGCACATATGCTATACCAAGGAGGAGGGGAGCGGAATATAGCCCACTGCTATCCACCACACACACTGGGCCGAGTATATGTAGTGTGTGTTTGGTGTTACATCCAAGCAAGGAAAATGCTGCATTACCGTACACCGTTCCCAGCAAACTTCATCAAGCAGACGACGCGTGATATAGGTGGGGATGTCGGTCAGGGATGCCATGCAAGGATGAGGCCGAAGACGACAGTTGCCCCCTTGCGCTAATTGGCGATGGAAAGCCGTTGTGTCCACCTTGTCGCCGTCCTAGGCTCGCTCGTTGGCTGAAATGGGGGTCCGCGGCCGGGATCCAGGAACGAGAGCAGTGTCCACCAGACAGACTACCACCGTCTGCTCCCTGGCAAACGATGTGCCTGTCCCTCGTCTTCGGACAAAAGGGAACGTCTGAGCTGCCGAACTAGAACCAACGAGGCATTGTCGGCCGGCCTTGCCGTAACATGTATGTGCTTTGTAGGGTATGCTGGAGACTCACTTTGACACCGCCTTGTCTGTTTACGCGGCCTTGGTCCGAGACTGATGAATCCTCCTGTCGGTCCCGCTCTCTGGACCCCACTGAGTCCCCGGCCGAGGTTACATTGGCGCTGCGAGGGAAGAGTTTCTTCTCCATTCCATCTTCTCTCTTTGCTCTTTATCCTTCTTCTCGCAGCCAGAGCTTAATAAATTCTCTCAAAACTTCTTTACGAGTCAAGGGGCTGTTGTCATTCATCCATAGCGACGAGTGAGAGAGAGGGAAGCGGAAAAGCAAAAAGAGAATTTTAGCCCTTGCGCCTATTCGATGCCACAGCAGTGTTTGACGCTGCATGCCGCTTCATACTGTACTGTCCTAGCCAGCCCATTTATACCTCTCCTCTGCTCCCCTCATCGCATCTTTCTCTTTGCGCATGGCGACTCTGAGCTGGCCCCCCTTGCTGCAGTCATGCAACTCTCCAGCCATCTCCCAATGCCGGTCCTCATTCATTACGCCGTCGACGAGGCTGTCGTCGGCGCCCGCTCCTTGGCACTCCCTATATCCGCTCGTTCGCCCTTTAGCAGATTCTGAATGATGTCGCTCGAGGGGTCCAGGTCCCACTGATCCCTGTAGTATTGCTGGAGGTCGCCTGCCCTCATCGGTTGCCGCACAAAGTCGTCGATGGCCCTCGCTGGGAAGAGCTGGTGCAGCGCCGTGTACACAATGCCGCTCGAAAAGTAGCCGTACAAGTAATTGAGGTAGTAAAGCTCCTTGGTGGCGTCGCTTACCTTGACAGCGCTGTTGACGCTCGCGATGAAGCCCGGGAGACAGGGCGCAACTCCGATGATCCACTGCAGCGAGCCCAGGTCTCTGGTTAGCCCCTTGTTGCTGCTGGGGCCATACTGCATAGCCCGCACTTGATGCTGCATGCACAATAAAACGCCCGAAGTCTTGATGTACGCACATGGCTAAACTGCCCGATGTAGACCCTTGTTGACGAGGGAATCCGAGGAAGGGGACATGGAAGAAGTGGGGGAATCACAGGGGATGGAGAACAGGGGAAAGGATGAGTAGAAGGATCATAACAGCCATGACGATGCTGTCCAAGACCGAGCGATGCCTTCCGGTGGAAAGCGGAAACGTACCGCCGCAACAGCACGCCAGTTGAAGCCGTGCCAGTACCAATATATGCTTCCCGCATCACCTCGATAGAGGTCTTCGACCTTGAGCTTCCTCTTGCAGACGACGAGATAGTGCGCCGTCATCATGCCCGTCATGGGCGCCAGAAAGACGCCATAGCTGGACACGACGGTGAGAAAGATCGGGGCTGTGCTGACTAGCCGCCAGGGGTTCACCACGGGGCTGATCAGGGCGGTAATGTACGCGCCCCGGCGGATGTTGATGTAGCGCGGAAAGATCGAGGCCAGATCGATGCCGCCGGCCAGGGCGTTTCCGGGGATGCTGCTGCCGAGCTGTGACGTGCACAGGGCGACGCCGGCGAAGAAGAGGGCCGCGCGGGTCCCGGCGCCGTCGTCCCTCTCGAGAAGCCGCTCAAAGAGGGTCGGCGGGTTCCAGACGGGCTCGCCGCCGAACCGGTTCTGCGTCGCCGCCACGACCAGGATACCGAGCACCGAGGCGTAGATGCCGTAGACGGGGTATGAGAACACCTGGCCCCAGATGGCGTCGCGCGGCCTCTTGGCGAGGCGGGAAAAGTCGCTCTGGTTGAGGATGCCGGCCGCAATGGAGCCCATGGTGGACATGGCGCCGTACACCATCAGCCACGCCGTGCTCTGGGGCCCATCCGCCGGAGGGGCCGCCGCCTGGGTTGAGCCAAGGGTCTCGCCGAAGCCGTCGGTCCCCATGGTGGCCAAGGCCCAGATGAGGAGCACGAGGAAGAAGACAAATGTGACGGCGCTGGTGACGTTGAAGAAGCCCTGCAGCCGGTGCGGCCGGATCCAGATAAAGGGCAGGCTGACGACGCAGAAGATGACGTAGCAGACGAACCGAGCCGATGTCATGCCCGTCTCGGCCGGGATGTTGTTGGTGATGCGAGACTCATACTGGGGGTCCCAAGACAGAAGGATGAGGTAGACGCATTGCCCTCCGACCCAGGCTTGGAACCCGTACCTATGTGTGGTTTTGCGCATTAGCAGTAAGAAGCTGGTGGAGAATCACCTGTTTCTTGACTGCACAGCTGTTTGGACTTACCACACTGATGATCAAATGTCGGAGGTCAATTTCGCTCATCAGGCACTTGTTGTTCAACGAGGACGTGTGTGTACAGACCCGCTGCCGGGCTCAGTGGCAAAGGGTGAAACTCACCGAAGGACAAGAAGATGCGATTCCATATCGTAAACTGAGAACCCCAGATTCCCCATATGGAGCGGCTGTAGACGGAGAAGCCGACTTGGTTATGTGTCAGCGCGCTGCGCCATCTTGGGTCTTGATATTTATGCTTCAATGCTCCCATGCCAATTCCGACTTCCTCGCACTTCTTCTTTCGCGCTGCGAGAAGGAGAGATAAAGAGCAGCCGGCAGACAGGTCGCCAGCGAAGGAGACGCACTATGATAGTTGGCCCCTTGTAGAGAGCTCAAGACAATAGCTCCCGTGACGAGAAGATTGCCGATGGAGATGCCTGCAGCATGGGATTAAAGTTCCATACGCCAGAACGCAACATGAACAGGGCTTTTCTAGGTTTCGAACATACTAATGATTGCCTGCCACCAAGTCAGACCGAGGGGGATGAGTGAACTTCCCGTCAGGAATGTCGCGATGGTGCAGTTAATCAACAGCCCTAGAAAAGCATAAAACCGAGTCAGGCTGGCATTATTCTTCCGTACCCGATATTGTCTTCTGAAACCGCAAGGCGGTCCAAGGAAGAGGCTTGGAAGCCACGCACAGTAGTTGTGAAAAGCCAGGGGATTCCATGTCCGTCGCGACACATCACAAGGTCGGACATCTTCGTTCTGAGGGCGAATGAATTCCGTCAGTATTCGCAACTTAACCCGACGCGCCAGAGGAACGCATGAAACACGCCTCTGCGGAGACACTGACTATCAACGATGAGACGTCCCCTTCTAGCTCAAGGCGCCGGAGCAGCAAACGGGGCCCCATTGCTGCTGCTGTTGCTGCTCTTTGCCCAAGGCTTCGCGCCGCTCGAGGGCTAAGTCAACGACCGCTAGCACGAGTTGCGTTTAGTTGGATATAGTTGATGGGTAGAGTATGTTCGAAGTTGCCCCATACTCGATCCAGAATAGGGCTGAAGATTTACTCTATTTATTCAACGGCCGTGATCCTCGGAGGATCCCGCCGAGGGGAAGGAGAGGAATGACGAAAAAAGGACGACGTATGTGCATACGGTATAGCCTTTCATCCGACAACTTCTCTGCTTTGCTGACACCACTTCCCTGCTCTAATATACAGTTGGAGGTACGAAGGACCAGTCAGCACTCGCACGCATAGATGGACATGACGGGCTCGCAATCACCCAGAGAGAGATAAGTCACTCTCCGGCGCCATATCCACTTCGGGCTGTGCTCGGACGATGTGTGTGTAACCGAGCGGCTTGCTGCATATAGGCTGATGTGGTGGTATGCGGGTAGGATCAGGGTGCATTGAGCTCTCACTCCAACGAGAAAGCAAAGGCCAGCGTAGGCTCATCAAGGTGCAATAGAGAGACTTCCATACATCCCACTACGCATAACGAGCAAACTAATGAAAGGCGATATCATTGGCTGTGTCCAGTCCGGCCCACCCTTAAAAATACCGACGTCCACACCACCGGGGACCTCCCCGCTTATTATCCAAAGGTTTATATCGCAAACCTTCACTTATCACCGAGGATCCCGTTTATGCTGCATCGCAATTGAGGCATGTGCAAATTGCGGAACTATTTCCGATCTACGGGCTTCCGGGGGCGGGGGGGGGGAGGGAGGAGGAACTACTAAGCTATCAGCCGACGGCTCATTGCTGATTTGTTCACGTCAGTTCTGCCCTTGCCTTGTCCGTACCGGAAGAGCTTGTGTCCGCCATCTGATTTGGTTATACTTGGCAAGTTATAGTTCAAAGCTGTGGACATGGCCGCATCTATCGCTTGCATTCTAGGTTTTGACCTCGTACTGTACTGCACTGCACATCTGGAAAGGAGAATGGAAAAGGTTAACAGAGGGGAAAAGGAGAATTACGCAATGCCAGTCCTGCTCTTGCCGGTTGGCGTTCCGCTTTCTGGCCGTCTGGCGGGAACGACATTCCCTACCGCACCGGTCTCTCCCGCCTGGCAGCTGAGGGTATAATTTCGACCCTATAATTTGATACTGGCCTTGAAGAAATCCACTTTTACGGACTAATTTCATCGTCAATTATTATACATACACAAACACAGATCAACGTTCTATATCTACATCCGTACAGTTCACTGCTGATCTGCATACGCCCTAGTCCGTACAAAGCACGAATACGGCGTGCACGTAAGACGAACCTCGTCGAAACAGGGCCTGCAGAGAACCAGGGCGTGCGCCGGTGTGGTTCTTGAAGCGTAGGGGGCCCAGCCGGCCACCTCGCCCGCTCAGTGACGCCCCATATACTTGTGGCGTCCTCGCCGAAGCCTCCCCTCGCCTCTGCTGGCTTCGGGGCATCAGTCTTACAGTCTTGACTCTCTAGACATCTCCATCTCAAAGACATTCGCCGCATGGCATCGGCCAACTCTCATTGACGCCCATCACACCTCCTCCCCGAGCCCTGGCATCGGTAAATCACTATCCACCAACCACCTCCCTGGGCCATGCCTGGTTCAAGTGGTTCCCCGCATGGCGAGCAGGCTAATATCTTACAGCTCGCATACTGGGTGAAAAGGCGGGGAAGAAAAATCCTCTCCGACACTCCACCGGTCCGCCCTGTGCGTTTCGGGATCTTCCTCAAGCGTCTGAGCTTACGTGGTGCCGTACTTATTGTCTCCCAACTCAAAATCCTAAACAAACCTCATCTTTCCCTGCCACCCGCTACCGAGACTAGGATAGTTTGCCGACTCGTGTTACGATTCGCCCTAGCAAGACTCCATTGGCGATAAATTGAATCCAAGACGGCACGTGGAGAAGGCTAACTTAAAGAGACAGAAGACGGTAGGAGAATAATTGAAACGGGAAATAGAAAGACCGTCCTGGTTCCTTTTCGCCCAGATACTTAAAAGAGACGTCGATACGACAGCTGGACCCCAGCCGAATTGGTCTTTTCTCCAATTGAACCCAAACCTGTCCTCGCCACTCTGCGTGACTCGTCAGAAACTCGCATTGGCATCTTGGCTTTGAGAGCTGCAGTGTTGCGCGGGCATCATGTCTTTGTACCGTATCGGAGTTGATGTCGGGGGCACCAACACGGACGCGGCGATCCTCGACATAAAAGCCCTGGACAGTCCTGGTCGCGGCGTTCTCGCTTCCCACAAAGCACCCACGACGCCTGACATTACCAGTGGCATCGAGGCCGCCATCCGGGCCGTCCTCGCCAGCTCTGCCGTCGATCAGAACCGGGTCCTCAGCGTCACCATCGGCACCACCCACTTCATCAATGCCCTCGTCGAGGCAGACGCCAGGCGGCTGGAGCGCGTCGCTGTGGTGCGGCTTTGCGGCCCATTTACTAGGCAGCTGCCCCCCCTGTCTGGCTTTCCCGTCGGCCTGCATAGTATCCTCGATGGAGGCGTCTACTATCTCGACGGCGGGCTTGAGATGGACGGCCGCGAGATCGCCGCTCTCGACCCGGAGCAGATACGCACGGCCGCCAGAGACATTGTCGCCTCGGGCGTCAAGGCCGTGGCGCTTATCGGTGTCTTCTCCCCGCTGGACCACGAAGGAATCCACGAGGAGCGGTGCAAGAGGCTGATGCTGCAAGAGGCTCCCGAGCTCATCGTCGTCTGCTCTCACGACATTGGGCCCACGGGCTTCCTCGAGCGAGAAAACGCCACCATCCTCAACGCCGCCATCCTGCGGACTGGCCACCGGGTCAAGCGGGGATTCAGGCGCGCCATGGCCCGTCTCCGACTCACCTGCCCCCTATACCTTTCGCAGAACGACGGCACCCTGATTGACGCCGACATGGCGGCCGAGTTTCCCATCAAGACCTTTGCTAGCGGGCCGACAAACAGCATGACGGGCGCGGCATTCCTCGCCGGGGTTGACCAGAGGCCCCAGGCGGCTGCCGACGCACCAGCCGCAGGGGAGCCCCAGATCCTGGTAGTAGACATCGGAGGCACCACGACCGACGTCTGCGCGCTTCTGCCCTCGGGCTTTCCCCGTCAAGCCCCCGGGTTTGTCGAGCTTGGAGGTGTTCGTACCGCCTTTTCCATGCCCGAGGTCATCTCCATTGGGCTTGGGGGCGGCAGCAAAGTGACGGAGGATCCGGCTCGGCCAGACTCCGTCTCTGTCGGCCCGGGGTCCGTCGGTCACTTCCTTCGGGAGCAGTCCAGGATCTTTGGCGGACCGATACTAACGGCGACTGATGTGATAGTCGCGGCCGGCAAGGCCTCTCTCGGAGACGCCAAGTTGGTCCAGGACGTGCCCCGGACGACGATAGACCTCGCCCGCAGCGAGATCAAAGCCAAGCTCGAGACGCTCGTCGACAAAATGAAGATTTCCGCGGCCCCAGTCCACGTCCTCCTCGTCGGAGGCGGTGCGATTCTCGTGCAGGAGAAGCTGGCCGGAGTCGACATGTGCATCCACCCTGTTCACCAAGGCGCGGCCAACGCTGTCGGTGCTGCCATTGCCAAAGTCTCGGGCGAAGTCGACACCCTCGAGGTGCTCGGGAAGAAGCAGGAGAAGGAAGTCATTGATGCGGCCTGCAAACGGGCCGTCGATCTTGCCGTCGAAAAAGGTGCCTCGCGCGAGGACGTCAAGATCGTCGAAATCAATAAGATGCCGCTACAGTACATGTCCCAGGAGACGATCCGCATCCAGGTGCGAGCCGTGGGCAAGCTTGCCATTCCCGAGGACCTGGTGCCTTGCCCCGGCGCTAAGGGGGTCAACGGCGACGGCGACCAAGACGCGAATGACAACGTCGAAGCACAGAAGGTCAGCGTTCCCAACGCTCTGGAGCCCACAACCAAGCCCACATTGGGCCTGGACCTGGAATCCTATCGTCCAGATGTCCGTGGCGGTGTCTGGTACGTCTCCGAAGTTGACTTGGAGTTCATGGCCACGGGCTGTGGCGTCTTGGGCACCGGTGGCGGCGGTCCAACCTACTACGAGTATCTCAAGGGTCTGAATGCTCTACGAGCCGGAGGCAAGGGCAAGATGAGGATCATTTCGCCCAAGGCGCTCAAGGACGATGACGTTATTTGCTTTGGCGCCTGGTACGGCAGCCCAAGCGTCATCAACGAGCGGACGTCGGGGGGGAATGAGATCATCGACTCTATTGACGCGGTGAATAAGATTCGAGGCATCGACACCTTTTCCGCACTCTTTCTTGACGAGATGTGAGTTTTTCCACCCTTTCACAAAACGGCAGATGCTTCCCATGATGCAGACTGCATGCAGGCATTGGCACTCCCGGTTTGCTGACTAGAAACCCAGTGGCGGCGGTAACGGTATGAGCGCCTTTCCCAACGGCGTTCATTATGATCTCCCGATTATTGATGGAGATGCCATGGGCCGAGCCTATCCAACACTTTACCATAGTAAGTCGAGCATCTGGATGTCTATCCCATGCTGTGTTCTAACAGAAACGTGTTCGACAGCCACTTTCAGCGTGTATGGCTATCCGCTCGTTCCCTGTGCCATTACCGATGCCGCTGGCAACGTTTCTGTAGCCCTTGTGAGTTGCTCCCTTATGATAAGGAGTGAAACACCAAAGTGTTTCAACATTCCGAGGAGGAGGAGGGCGAGCTGACAAGGTGGAATGCAAATCAGAGCACCAACTCGCCCGAGCGCCTGGAAAAGATTATACGGACAACGGCCGTCGAGCTGGGCCTGACATGCGCAGCGAGCACGAATCCGCTCCCGGGCTCGGCCATCAAGGCTCATGGCATACCCAATACGCTGTCCCTGGCCTGGTATCTGGGCCGAGCTGTGCACCTAGCCAAGCGCAACAAGGCCAGCTACGTGGATGCTATCGTGAGTTGATGTTCCGTGCCATTATTTCCAGGTTTTTTCTCCACACCTTTCTCTCTGTCTCTTTTGTGCTCTGCTAGGATGTAAAGGGGGAACGAGCACGACAAGGGAAGACGGGCAAGTTGCGACCGCCGACTAACTATGTCTCATCGCATAATAGTTTGACGTCTGCGCGGGCAAGCTACTCTTTTCAGGCAAGATCACAGACGTGCGTCGATACATTGGCGGTGGCTACACCATGGGCGCCGTCATGCTGGCCCCCCTGAGCCACGAGGAGCGAGAATCGCCCGTCAACGCCAGCCGGCAGCAGGTGCCAACGGATACGCACATGACCATTCCGTTCCAGAACGAGTTCTTGTACGCCGCGTACTGCGACCAGGAAGGATCCGAGGCCTCGCAGCAGGTCGTGTGCACCGTTCCCAACCTCATCTCAATCCTCGGCCAGGACGGTGAGGCCATCGGGTCCCAGGATCTTCGGTATGGGCTGCGTGTCAACGTCATTGCCTTGCCGGCCCACCCGCTGTGGCGGACCCCGGAGGCCCTCAAGGTGGGCGGGCCGGAAGGCTTTGATTTGAAGATGGCAGAGGTTGGGGTTGATATGGGATTCACGGAAGCAAGGAGTGTCATTGACGAGTTTGGGTTTTGATAGACGAACGGCGAATATCAGGATTGGAGAAACAATGGTAGTCAGAAATGGACACTTGAAGCTGGTTGAGGCAAGTCAGCTCCGAGGTGAGACGGCCTTATTGGAATACATCAAGACGGGTCTTGTGAGCTGCATGTAGGCAGTGATAGTGTACAGTTTCGTATCCTTCTTTTGCTCACATCATGCACTGAAACATCCCGACCCTACGCATTGGCATTGGTCTAATCACGAACCCTGACGAAGTTTTGTATTTCCTGTTCCACATCAATGCGTCTGTCCAAAATCCTTGTCCACCAAGTTTCCCCAAACGAAGCAATCGCGGCACTATTTCGTAGTTGGCCTCTGGAAAATGAAAGAATGCGTGCCCTGTGGCGCTGTACGTTTACAAGTCCTGGGGAGACGTGTGGAAAGCTTTCTTTCATTCCATCATTGAGCATTCTGCTTGCAACGCAAGTCAAACACACCGAGAGCCTCCTCGGCTGCCTTGAGGCCGCTAAGGACCATAGCGCCAAATGTCGGGCCTGCGAGTGCTTCGTTAGCCAAGTAGCTCTACACAGACTCAGGTTACGAGGAGGAGGCAAGTCGGATTCAGTTTTCATACCCATGCGATTGGCACCATCGACCTCGGACAGCTCCATGCCGCCGACAATGAGACCCGGAACAATCTCGCGAGTGTTCTTGACGATGGCGTCCTCGGCCGTGTTCATGTCGAGGCCCCGCATGCCGCCCAGCTTCTCGATAACCTCCATGCTCACGAGGCGCTTGACAGAAAAGGCACCCATAGGGCCGTCGTGGCCGGTGGTGGAGATGACGAGCGGCGCGTTGATAGTGTTGGGGTCCATGCAGGACTGGTCATCGTGGTGCATGGCCACGAGGGTCCAGTTGGTGACGACGCCGGAGATGCGGACGCCCTCATCGGAAGGGCGGGTGATGAGGTCCTCGACGCAGGTGGCGTTGAAGAGCTTGACGTTGGGCAGCTGGAGCACCTTGGACATGATGGTCGAGGTGAAGAGGGCGGCGTGCTTGACGACGACATAGTTGCCCTCGTCCTCGAAGGGGACGCCAACCTCGCGCAGGAAGGCGTCGGCGGGCTTGCGCATGACCATGGCGGAAAAGAGCTGGCCGCCAAGCCAAGCACCACCGCCGGGCGAGACCGAGGCCTCGATGATGGCGATCTTGAGGTCCGGGCGTTTCTTGCCGAGGACGTAGGCAGCGCTGAGGCCGCAGGAGCCGGCGCCAATAATGACAATGTCCGACTCGGCGTAGCGGTCGAGGTCGGCAAAGTAGCGGCGGGTCATGGCCCGCGAGACCTGGCTCTCACGGATGGGGGCGAAGCGGAAATCGTCCCAGCGGCCGAGCATGTCCTCAATGGTCTGGGACTTGGTCCCGGCGACAGCCAACTTGGACGATGGCATGGCCATGTGCTGGGGGGGCGAGACGGCGGCCGGAGGGGTCATGATGGGTCTGTGACGTGTTAGAGGACCCGAGTCTGTCCAAGGACGACGAAGGGAAGGGAATGCATGATCCTTTCGCTGGTATTATCCAGATCAAGTAGTTAGGCCGTATATTCTCAGCCACGCCCTCCGCCCTTCCCTGCAGGGTGCTCGATGGACCGGCGCCTCGGCTCGTGAGAGCATGAGGTCGAGGGTCGACGAGGCCTGGAGTGAAGAGCAGAAGGGCGGGCACCGGCTCATGCAACAGACAGTACCTGAAGATGAATGACCATGTCTGGATAGACTACCAGCAGAGCAAGGCTGCATGATTCTCGTAATTGGGTGACGGGAGGTGGGCTCGGATGTACCGATTATTCCGGACAGTGATCTGGAGAAAGTCAGAGCTGTTGATGGTGAAGGCAGAAGTGTATGGACAGGCTCAGTTGGAAGCAAGGGGATAGCTCGACGAACTTGTTGATTGTAGGCGACGTGTCAACGTGTGTGAAGGTGGGCGAATGAGGTCGAAGGCTGTTTGGCCGGGGCCACGCTTCAGTTATACTGTCATGGCTTCACGGACGGGGGCCGAGAGGGGAAAAGTCGCTCATACCGAATACCGAATACATCATGCATGCATCATCAGTTGTCGGGGCTTGCAGGAAGCGGGGTCGATGCAAGAGCCCGGTAAGCGCCCCGTTCACCGAGAGTAACCTGCGGTATGCGAGCGAGTGTGCGCACTGTATACGTACTCCGTAGTAGATGCACAGCAGCGACTCCACAGGTCCCGGGGGCCCCTGTGGGCCCGTCTGAAGATCCACTGAGCACATTACCCTAGTAGGTACCTACCTAGGAACCTAGGTATGTACCGTATGTACATAAGGTAGGTACCTCACAGGGCCCAAACTTGAAACTTGACGGCCAGCACCTCACGACGTCAAGGTCTCGTCGAGTCTTTCACTATATGTGCTTACTGTCTGTGGTCCTTCTAGAACATGCAGCAGGCAACTAGCCGAGTGCAGCCATAGGCTCACAATGGCCAAAAAAACAATTGTTCGACTTGGGCACGCGACCCCGTGGCTACCACAGTCGCGCTTAAGAGCCATTCGCTTTTCGGGCTTCGCATCATGCCGTCGACCGCCTCATTGCCGTACCGCGAGCCTGGAATCGTGGCAATCCTCGTCCAGTCTTCGTTCCTACCGCTTCTCAACATTCTCAGTTTTGCCTTGGACAAGGCCCTTTACTCCGGCCTCCTTGGCCAGGTCTTCCTCGGCATCGCCTGGGGGACCCCGGAGCAAAATGGCTCGACGCCGACGTTGAAGCGGTCATAGTCCAGCTCGGCTACCTTGACCTGCTGCTCATAGTCTACCAAGGTCCATCATTTTCTCCATGTCCCAGGGTCTCCCGCTGACCCATCCATATAAGTGGTCTGTCGACCTCTCTGCAGCCCTTCAAGGCCAACACACTCCTATCCGCAGGCGTCGCCACCACCGGAATCGCCCGTCACGCTTTGGCTCAACTCCTGGCGCGCAGAGCACCCTGTTGGTCTTTTGAATGCTGCCCTTAAGACAACCAGCACGGCATTCGCAATCCACACTTTGGTGTTACTCGACTGCATAGCCGGCGCGATCTATGCCGGCACATCCAACTTACTCGCTGCCTACGCTGCAGGAGCCGCCATCAACTGGTGGGACTCAGAATTCTCGCAGACGGGCCCTCGCCCTCATGGGGTACCCCAAGCAGCGCAAAGTGTAAGGACAGGATCGACTCCAACCACAGCAACAGCCACGGCATCTGATAACATAGATGGAGAATGCTCAGGAAATCAGGACGTTGGCCAAGGCAACACAACCGCTCCCCATCGCCCCAGCCAACTCAAGACTGCGTCATGCAACTCGGGCCTAGAAATTTACGACAAGCTTTACGCTGCACCAGTCAACCGGGTTCTAAAGCCCTTCTTCTTCGTACGTTCTTTGGACTTTGATACATTTTATCCTATACATTTGTACTCATTTATGACTGCTCCACGGGCCTCGTTCGGCTTCTCGATTTCCATCCCCGAAATTTTTTCTGGCGAGGTTGTCTGGAAGGGCTTGGTATACACTGTCTTAATGGCTCTCGCCAACGTCGCGTGTGGAATCTGGCTTCTCCGCCTGCCTGACCATCTCATATTGCCTGCCGGAGTCAAAGCTCGTCTGCTCAAGCTACCCGGGCCAAGATTGAATCATTTCTGGGGCAAAAGATCCGGAACGGCAACCGATACTTCACCGCAAACGAAACGATCTGCCTCTAGCCATACCAATTCCGTCCCAGCCCCATCAGAGTCCCACCAGGCGGCAAACACCTCGTCTCCAGACTCGTGGCCCACAGCTGCACCGGCAACAGATGATCCTCGGTCAGCCCCGGACGCAATTAGGCCCCGGTCGGTTTACCCGGCCTCGATTCTCGGTTGTGCCATAATAGCGCGAGGCGAAATTGGGTTCTTGGTCTCCTCTATGGCAGTGAGCAACAAGATATTTATATCCAACTCGGACAAGAACTCGAGCTCAGACATCTTCCTTGTCGTGACGTGGGCGATTGTGGTTTGCACAATACTAGGCCCCCCAGCCGTGGGCTTGCTTGTCCGACGAGTCAAGAAGCTGCAGCGGAGTGTGTAAAAGCAAGACCGCGTTGTTCGAGGAGACGTACTTGGCGTCTGGGGGGCATCATGATTGCTTTAGCACTTACTCCAGACTGCATCTTCCAAACGGCGGTGTCTGTGGCCCAGGATGAGGTCTTAGATTCCATGAGGCTGTTCCGAGCGAGCTTACCATTGAGTATACGAGCTGGAAATCTGCCACACGACGGCAAAGCTGACTTGCTGCTGTCGTCTGTTGCCTATGCGCTAGCCAACCAAATACATGCCAAGCGTTGGCGCATTCCCGTCTCTCCCGTCAATGGAAGGGCATGGGAAGTCACACGCCAAGCGGTTCAGTCTCCGCCGTCCTCCGAATACCCGGTAGGGCGAGACGTCCAGCTACAAGGAGTGTCCTGCCTTAACGAGGCGGCTGCTGGGCTAGCATGCATCTATGAACCGGGCGGAGAGGCAATGGCTGTCCCTTCTCTTTGGCGAGCGAGAACCAGACGATGGCGAAAAGATCTGAATATTGGATGATAGGCGGTGAATATCACTTCTCACAAGCTTTTCGAAGAATGAAGCCGGAACAGAATTGCACAACTGCCGGCTTCTTGGCCAACTGGAGCACTCGGACCTGGAGCCGTTGCGTAACGGCTACAGCATAAACCAAAGAAGCTTCGACGGACAATTTCCGGGCAAGCCATCACGCAATGCAGGTCTCTCAAGATGCCCAATATCGACATATTCCTCCCAGAGTTTCTGCTTCGCTAGACGTTTGTCATCTGCGCCGCATGGAATGCTACGATGCATGCAAAGCTGTTATTATGACGTTTAGCCCTACGTCATGAATAGATTTGACCTCAATCAGTTGCCAGGTCGCCAAATGCGAGGTCGGCGCCTTTGTCTCGCCCAAAGTCTAAGACATGCTCGTGCGCCTGTCTACGAATCAACGTCATCACCCGACTGAGGCGCTCAAGGTGTTGCCGGTCGTCTCGGGCAGCTCTGACTAGTCAACATAGACGACCCACAAGACGGCGCCTGGGGAGCCTCGATCGCTCACAAAAAATGACGTTGTGGCGTCATGTTGCGATGCACTGCGCACAGCAGGTGGTGACTGAAGGCGATGCAGACAAAGTGCCATGCCCCTTCGTTTCACTTGAACCAACCACTGTTGGTTTCGACGTGTCTCTATCCCGTACCCCCTCCCTTTTACGCCACTGTCCATCAAAATTCGTGCTCTATGGACATCTTGTTTCCGCATTGCCCGACAGCTCTCCGTCTCAATATTCCTAACGGAATCGATCTTCGCCCTAGCGGTCCCACCCCCATGCTCCCGACAAATTAACTATTCTTAATGCGCTCTGGAATTGCTAGCCTTCTCCTCTGGGTTGTTCCTGTACCGCAAGAATGAATGCGTAGGCTGTAGGGACTGGGGACGCTTCCTAGACTTGAGGCTTCGGCTTGGCATGGCATGATGCGGCACAATACCTCTCATTTTAAGCCTTGGAAGTTACCCATATATGTCGAATGATTGCATGGAGCTCTCTGAGTATAAAGAACGAGCTCAAGTCGCCCCAGGTTTCTGATGTTCACAAGACACTCATCTCCAACAAACACACCAACAGACTTTGGATTTTGCGAATCATCTACCCCAACTCTTCTTCTTAAAACCAAGACTTCAATACTCGTTTTCGGGCAACGTTCCGAATCAACCGACAAGATGAAGTACCGCACTGGAGCCCTGATTGCCATGTGCCTCACCACAGGCACCTTTGCCGCTCCCACCAGCGAGAAGCCTACTGTCCAAGTCAAGGCTATCACTGAGGTAAGCAACATCACCGGAGAGGACTCTTGCCCTTTCTAGCATCTAATCCTATGTGAAGGAAGGAAAACCCTCCGGGTCTCTTGGCTTGCTCGGCGGCAGCTTTCCGGAGAGCAAGTACATCGAGTTGGGCGAGCATAAGAAGCATAAAGGCCCTTATCGCCGCTCCATGGAGTTCGACGCGAAGGAATCGGGCAAGAAACCGGTCGGTGACCTTGTTGGTGATGTTGGCAAGGCGCTTCCTGTCCGTCGGTCGGAGAAACCCGTCGGCGGCCTTGTTGGTGATGTTGGCAAGGCGCTTCCTGTCCGTCGGTCGGAGAAACCCGTCGGTGGCCTTGTTGGTGATGTTGGCAAGGCGCTTCCTGTCCGTCGGTCCATGGAGGTGGACGCTGAGACTCCGAAGCCGTCTATCCCTGGAGAGAAGCGCCCTAAAGCCACCCGTCGCTCTATGGAATTTGACGCAAAGAGGCTGAAGAACAAGAGGCCGAAGAACAAGAATCTTCCCATTCCCGCCCGTCGCTCTATGGAGTTTGACGCGAAAAAGCCTGTCGGAGACGTTGCCGAGGATGATGATGCTCCCACCGAGAAAGGTACTGAAGATGCAGGGGCTTCTGATGAGTCGCAGTAGAAGAGGGAGTTCGCAGATGATGATTCCGACGCTGAAAAGTTAAGGGCCATGATCTGGTTTCCTTTATGCATTTCGACGCAGAGAGTTTCAGCAGGAATGGCCGACTTTCCTCATTTATGTTACCGCTACACCGAGTTTAGATAGCTTAGCAAGTCATCCTTGAACGAAATAATGAATCAATAATGAATTATTCACACCACGAAGATGATACTGAGTGAAGTTTGGTAACAAAATCACATCAAGTCTTACATGGTCTCACCTCTACAACCGTCACATTTGTTTAAACGCGGTCGTGGAAGAGTTTCGTCCCCAATTGCGGTTGAAGATGTTTTGAGTCCAAGTATCTATCCATCAGCTGAATGTCAACGGCGTCTCCTTTTAATTCCGTCACTGGGTCAAGATGAGGCCGACATGTTGCATTTATAGATCCTTGGCTTCCTTTGATCACCCTCCTATATCGAGATCGAAACTATCGTTGCCATTGCTCCGGGAAAGCGAAACTGATTTTGGTGGTGCTCTGTGGTGCCCCTAGATAAAGAACCAGTTAACTGTGAGCTTGTATTTTTTTCGCGCAGCCCGACCAATGTTGCTTGTAGCCTCAATCTGGTGAACAATACCAATGTGAAGTTTTGTTCATCACAGCCTTGAAATAAAGTCGGTGAAGAGTCTGCTTTGGCTCTGGAATTCTTCATTTATGTTCTTGATGAAGACATATAGAGACGATCAGTCCTCTGCGAGCACGCGCACCCTTTACCGCCCCCTCCAGCATGGTAGACATCATGTGGTCAAAGGAGAGTGCAGTGTCTGTTTATAGCCCCTTGTTCATTAATAGGCGCTTACGCGTAGTCTCGGATTCGGTTCAATATTGGCCTGGACTCGTTATCGGAGCTTGCCATCGGCTTGTGCGAGATGGAAGAGGTAGGACTGGCTGTGTAGTGTAGAGGTTAATGAAGGGAAGACTGGAAGTCGCCCACCATGGATCAGCTGATGTAACTGTCAACCTAAAAGGATCAATACGATGGGCGGCGAGTGCTCTGCTCCAGAGGAGAGTGGAGGGGTGAGCCCTTCTCCTTTGCGGCGTTTGACGAGCAGATTCACGCTCCTACGTCGTGATCCACGCCATTTTCAGAATCACGGCGACTGAGTCTACGCTTGATGCCACCAAAAGCACCGCTCTTTGAGCCTCGTCGGGGACGTTGAACCCTTTCGAGGTCTCGCGAAACTCTTCAGTGTCTAAAGTTATTCATTGTAACGTAGAGAGATCAGACTTTTGCCTTGATTCTTTACGTCCCGCTATGGAGTAGTTCTGGAGCCATGTAAAGCGGGCTATCAGCGAACGTCTTGGCGATGATCTGGCAGTTGCTCAAGCCGAAGTCTCCGAACGGGAAATGATATTGGCCTGACTGTGTTGCGTAGATTACATTCTCCAGCTTTATGTCTCAATAAATGAGGCCTTGCGGTGTGAGGCAATATGTGGCTTGATGGAAGACGGCATAGGCAAGATGGTCGATCGGCGTTGGCAACCACCAAAACCGCGAGGCTGCGAGCTGCATCTGTGGACGAATGAACCATCACACTCTGTCCGACTGGCCTCATTTCCGCTTACCCGTGTCCCGGAGGAGTGGGGGCTTGGAAGCACGAGGAGCATCTGGAGCTCGAGTCTAATTCGAGACCGACTTGGTGCCCATATCCCCCCACTGGTGCAGTTTGGGCAAAGCTCAGCCGGAAACCCGACGACGAGCTGCGAGATTGCGAAGCGACTGTCGATTCGAAAACTGTAACGCGACGCATCGCGCTCGTTCTATCAGATTGCGCTTCAGGCCTCCAGAGAACACGAGCGAATCCAAAACTTGTCCGCGCTCAATATCGCCACCATCCAGGACCATGCCGATAAACACTCAATCCTACAACCACGTCAAGGATACTTGGGTCAGAGAGGCGTTTGGAGCCGGAAATGGGGTGTTACGCCAGGAACGAAGTGCCGGCATGATCAACCTCTGGAGTAGACGCTTCATGATGAGATGAGCGGTCATGTTTCCGGCGTTGGAGGGAGTGAAGGTGCCGTCAGGGAATGGAACGAGAGAGGCATTCGAGTCCCCCGTGCCTAGCAGGTCAAACCACGAAGCTTCCAATGTTGCGGCCAATTGCCTTGCGGCAGGCGAGGCACCACTGAGTCCGAGTCAGCCCGAGTCTTGTTGGCCTGCTGAATCGAACCACTTTGCGTGATGCCGCCAACAAGACTCCCGGAGAATTACCCGCGGTCATGGGCCCAGCAGTATCCCTGAATGGTAACACGAGACACTCATCCTCGGCACAATGTTCAAGGCGCCGCCCACGGAGAGCCGTGGTCTTCCCTCAGCCAAACAGCGACGATATGGGACGGTCGAGAGCGGGCAGGCGGGAAGGCGACCTAGTCCTGAGGCCCGTCAACGACGGGTCCCTTGGGGCAGTTTCCTGTATAAACATAGGAGTGCGTCGCGACCTTGATGTAGAAGGAACCACTATGCTGCACAGTGCTCAGTTATTTCACGGGCATACATAGACCTGATCGCTCTCGACTTCAAATGTTTCGGATATCACCAAAGCTTTGTCTGATAGTATGACGCGCAAGCCTCGTGTGGGCTGCCGACGGCAAACCCGCATTGTGTAGTCCGGGCTGATTCCACGGACTTCTACTTGCATCTTTCCTGGTGTCACAGGTCCCGGGGCCGGCTGACCGGTCATCCGGTAATCGGATTACCGCCCCGCCCCACGCAAAACCATGTCGTTTTCGAAGGCCCGGCCCTGCGGGGCTGGCGTTTTCTTAGTCGGATTACCGCCATCGGACGGCAAAATCGAAGGTCCACGCCCGCGGGGCCCTGCGCGAGACCTTCGATTTCGGTCTCGCTCACGCGCGTTGCGCTCCACCTCCCTCCTCCCACCTCCCCCCCCCCCCTCCTCCATTGCCACCGTCGCGACGGCGACCGCCTGCACCATGTCGAACGCGATAGAGGATCCCCGGGTCAGGGCGGCCATTGAGCACTACCTGTTAGATCTGGAGAACACCCAGCCGAAGAATACGAAGCGAAATTATCGTCCCAAGCAGGAAGAATGGAAGGCAAGCCCGCATGCGCGCCCTGCAATCTTCATGTAGATCCATGCATTGACTGCCTCACAGGAGTGGTGTCAAGCCAACTGGCCTGCGATCCCGGACGTTTGGCCGGCCTCGGTACCACAGGGCAACAGCTACCGGGAGACCTGGTCGATGAAGGAAAGCTCTTGCTCTTCATGAAGGAGGTAGTGGCATCACGTCCTCCAAAGAAAGGAAAGAGGGTCGCCGATGAAAGAAAACGACACCTCGAGGCTCAGGAAGCCAAGAGGGCCGTGAACGACGCAGAGCACCATCAGGTAACAGATGTTGATCACGGGATGTGGTCGTCGGACTGAGCCAGCCCATCATACTAACACCCAGCTTCCCCAGCAGATACCATCGTTGTAGGCGGCGGAGGTAGCGAATACGAGTCAGACTCCGACTTGGAGTTGTATGAGTCCACGCTCAAACTACAGTATAATACTGTACGGGGCTACGTCTCGGCCATACAGAAGCTTTACGACGAGCAGAAGAGCCGGGAGTCAATCCTGCGGCCCGGCCACAGGGAGTGGCACTGAAGGCGCTCAAACGCAGCATTCTTGCAACGACTTGGAGCCGGAAGAGGAAGGAATACATGGACAGGGAGTTGGAACTCTGAGAGATGTGTATGCGCCGGCGCAGATACCCGACCACACCAACGTGGCATGGTCCGAGAGAGAGATCGCCTGCGCCCTGAGGACGCAGGTGGACTTTCTGCTCGGGAACCACATGCTGCTGCGGTCCGGCAACCGCCTGCCGATGGAGTTGGCAGACTGCTTTCCCTGGACTTACCCAACGAGGGCTTCAAGGCCCAGGGTATACCACGAAGGCGCTGGTTGTCGTGATGAACTGTGGGAAGACCAACCAGCACGGCCGCATGGAGTATGGATCTGCTTTGCGGCATCGAGATCCGCGATCTTGTCTCATCGGCGCCCTCGCGTTCTGGCTTTTCTGGCGCTGGCAGGTAGAAAAGGCGGAAAGGTTTCCGTCTTCCAAAGAAGCGAAGACTGGTATGAAACGAAGGTGCTCCGCCGATCGGCGAAGGAGCCTCAAGGTAAGCGTGATGGCATTCACCGGAATCCCATAACTCAGAGGGTGCATCGACCCTTTCACTCACCGAATATACAGCTCCGTTGTCGGGCCAGACTGCCCGAGAATGGACGTCCAGGTTCTACAAGAAGGCCGGCATCAAGGTCTCCAAGGTCAGCCACGCGCCTAGAGTGGCCGCGACGCAAAACGCCGACATGGCCGGAGGATGAAGGCCAGGCATGTCATCTGCCCTAGGCAAGCCGCCAACCCCTGGCCTGGGCTGACCCGAACTATACAGATCCGCCGAGCCGGTCGTTGGAATAACGGAGACCAAATGACCGGCTGCTATCTGACTTCCTGCCTTTCGAATTCATGAGGGCCGTGGCCGACTTTGACCCTGAATGGTCGGGGTCTTATTTCGTGCCCGGGCCACCGTGAGGCCGCCTGTGGTGCTACTCGTGCAGGTCTGGCCTCAACTCGACAAATGGAAAGAGGCCCACAGTAGCCCTTTCTCAGATCTCGGGGTGGAGCAGAACATGGCCGCCGGCGCCTTCTTGGAACTCCTGGAGTGGCTTCGAGAGGTGCTCCTGCAGGACGCTGTCTTCCTTCGCGAGTCCTACCCCGACCATCCTATCTTTCAGGATCCGGTCTTCTCTTGCCCCGAGTTTGAAGCGTTCGCCAGCAAAGTTCAAGACACATGCACACGGGACCACGAAGACAGCCATACCACGGTCATTCAAAAGCGATCCCGGTGGTTGCGGAGAAGCTGCGCACAGTACTGACTCAACAGGTCGCAGCCGAGCAGTTAGCTGAGCGAAGACATCTAGACCTTTGGGGCTTCTACGAACTATGCACAAAGTTG